CACGATTGCATTAGTGCTGCATTCATGTACTGACTCAGGGTTGGCAAAGACACAATTCTGCCTTGTTTTGTTTTTCAAAGTCAATGTCAGACGTTCACCGGGAGAACTGTCTACTGGTCCGCTCGGCACAACCACGGGTTCTTTCGCTTTTTAGTCCTTACGTCAAACGGGTCGTCGGTTCGACGGCAGCGGGTACTCACCCCGAAAATCAAGTACCAGTTGAAAAGAAACGGTTGCCAGTAAAAGCACTCGAATAGCCTTTGGCGTCATTATGAAGTCCCTACATAATGCAAGCAGGGGCTGAGCCCAAGTTTACCAAGGCTCTGGACCCGAGATGCTGCACCTTGTAATTTGGCTGCACAAGCAAACCACTTTCCGAGTCATCGGTAGCTCCCGATCATGGCTGTTTACGGAAGTGACCGAACTATAAAACCAATTTTAGACAAGGCTGTCCAAGATAACAGGCTGCAGCCAGCTTGATGAAGCTTGCGGGCTGGATAACCGGATTCGGGAAACCGACTGCAAAGAGCTACACCGGCCATGATCAGATGAATGCACATTCTGCAACGAACACAGGGGTTAATAGTGTTCTCTGTTGTGGCTTCCACGAGCGACGGAACAGCATTGAGCGCATGGTGGTAGGTGAACGGCGACTACTGAAGGAGCTTTACTCCAACTGGCGCGTCTTAGCGACCTGGACCCTAGATCCAAAGCTTGATTTCTACATGGGCTGATGCCATATCTACGCCTGTCATCCGTTTGCCATTTTCGACAAAGCGATTGACAGGCGCTCCCCACATTCGCTAATCCTTTCCGTCAGTTATTGCGAAAGGCACGTGATCTTTACGCAGACGCTGACGTCGTGGTTATGGGGGTGCGCACACGACTCGGCATTCAATAGCACATGCAGTACTCTGCGGAAGTCTCATCCTGATCCCCACGCCCTCGATATTGGTACCTTCGGTTGAGGCCCTTTATGATGCTGGGCATCAATTGCGGGTTTTCAATGCAGCATGCTCCTTGAATAGGGGCCGTTGCAAGGCCGTCGCACAAGAAGGAATTTGGTTCCCAAAGTGACCGGATCGCATGGCAGTCTCTTCGGCCATCACTATTGCTGGTAGAGTCCCGTGACGCCCAAAAGCATCTCCAAGAGGCAATTAGGTACAGGCTCAACCATCGAGGTAGTTCATAACATTTGCCGGCTATATACGACTATGCACCTGTTGCATTCCAAATCTTACATACAGCAGGCGAAACGTTCATAACGATAGAATTACAGCCTTGGTGCAGAAGTTGTTGAAGCTTCTTGCATAACCTTTCCATCTACAAGGAATCGGCCGCACATCTCATCATTAATACCGTTATATCAGGGTCCAAACGCCACGCTATATCTTCTTGCTTACTTCCCTCAAGTGGCAGCTACAGGACACCCACGAACCATCCAAGGGTTGCGAGCCTTGCGCAGGTACGACTCCGCTGCGACGGAAGCGCGTACAAGACTCTACTAGCGTAACGACGCCTGCAGCATACACCGCTTGATATTACATGAGGATAGTTGATCAGGGTGAACGCGAAGTTTTTCCGACGCCACGGTTGAACGCCACCAGCTTACACTTTTGCCTCACGCTTGGTGTCCGTCACTACCGCGTATGCGCATGGCTCTCTTCCAAAAACCCCGATTTGTCGTCGTCAGATCTAGTAACTAGCATGTTTCATCCCCAGGTTCCGGTGCGCGGGTTCCTCAGGGACGGGACGCATCCGAAGGATGCTTCGGTGTCTGACAATGATCGGCTACCCATGTCAACGATCCCGGTAGGTTACATGCATGTCATTGCAACGACACCCAGTCTTACGTGAACACTGCGTATCGAAGTCACTAAACACTCACCTAGGTGCGTTTATGGTGTTGTACTAGACTCAGACGCGCCACAGTACAGCGACTGCATTCACATTCGTCAACCATCCCAACCATTGACAATATCAAGACACTGCGCTGGCTTTTTTCCCACATACGACCATAGGCTCAAGATCATAGCGCTTCCCGTTCGCTCAGCGGTACTCAAGCTTGAGACCGGCGGATTAGTAGTCAGGTGGGTGACCACTGGCGAATCCCTGCTGTTGTATGTTTTTGTATTTTCGTGTGCGACCGACAGCAATGCAACGTTCACTATTCAATTAAGCGTTCAGCTATTTTCCTTTCGTTCTACGGGATGTGTTATTCCCGTATTCTTCATTCCCATACTATCTACATGATAGGTCCAGCCATCACCTCTAATGACAAAGCAAGTCGGGTACCTTATCAACCAAATTGACTTTTACCCAAAACCCTACTTGCCTTTTTACGATTGTTGTGTGCGCGCTTTCTTACTATTCCACATTCAGCTTGCTGTGCATGAAGCATGCTCTTTGCTTATCTAAGTTTCTTTTGGCTGGGCAACTCCAACCAAGCTGAGAGGCTTGAGAGGCGAAATGTAAGTGACATCTAGCTTGAAATTTTTCTTATAAAACAGCCAATGATTGGCATGAACGATTGATGTTATGTGGTGTGGTCAAGCATGAACAACATTATTGCTGTTACGTACCTTACTACGTTGTATCGCATTGTCTATTCGTACCTGCGATCTCCTCGCCTCCTCGGGCTGTAACTACGACATGTACCTCAGTCCATTTACGACTAGTGTCGATGATTAGCACTAACCTGCGCATGCACCGGTCCTTCTTTTGCTTCGTTCTAGCTTGAATTCCGGCATCTCTCCAAGCTCTTTCCATGGTGTGGCGTTCACTTCCAGAACCTGGTTCAGTTCGAAACATCAAGCACATTTTACATTATGCCTAACCTGCCCGATATCAACATTTGCTGTTGACATCACTGCATAACTTGGCTCTACTCAGCTGATGGCGTGCCATGCTTCTATAGCGCACGTTGTATCGGAAGAAGTCCAAGGGCCGCACAGTCAAGTTCTATCGTCAGGCCTGGAGCGTAAGTAGCGTGTTAGCCTAGTACAGATGATGGTGTGTGGACAAAGCATCTCGATGCTGTTGACCTGAGCTTCCAGGTCTAGAACACCTTGGTAACGATCCTTGGTAGTTCAAAGAGGCAGTTGGAGACCATTCTATAGTAGATCGAGGATGGCTGGGGCCGATTCTCGGAAGCTTTTCTGATTGCTGTAGGAGTAGGCAGAGCTGAAGCAGGGACAGATTTTGTACGATCCACGGGATACCGATTCTAGCCGGAGATCGCATCTCTGAATTCTGTCATACAGTGAGAAAAAGAGAAGGTAGCTCTCTTGTATCCATTGTCATGACTGAAGGGGATAGTGGCTATCTTGTAAACAAGGTCCACTGCACGGCAAGCACTTGAGGGAAGGATAATATGGTCAAATGTATCGACGGCAGACGATGGTGCCGCTGAGAGAGTGACTCAATTCTCAAGAATTTGAATTGAGACAAGTAGACATAAGGGTGAATTGATGTAGCCTGGAGTTCTGACTTCGCATGACTTCAGAACATACGTTGAACTAGTCGGCTGCGAGCGTGTAATCCATGAGAATCATTGTGTCAATCTAAAGGAGGTACTGCAGGACGACAAGATATCGACACATGCAATTCCATAAGTGCCTTTGTATTAGGATTTCAACTTTAGATCGTAAAGCATGCATCTTAGAACTCTGATTTGGGCTCCTTAGCAACATTCGCGCTAATAAAAAAAGACTGAGGTATCGCTATCAGTAGCCACCTTGTCTTGGATAGCTCAGACGCACGTAGTTGTTATGCTTTCGGATTCATCTAGTAGCTCAAAGTGCGAAATACAATGCATCGTTGGTGCGAAACACGGCAGTGTCTGTGTCAACAGAACAAGACTATCACACAGCCAATGCACAAGTATGGCAATGCCTTTGGTAGACTCATGTTGTACAATGTCGCAACAACGTAAGGATCGCTCTAGCTATAACATCTAGGTTTCGGCCAAGATGTAGAAAGGAGGCATTGGGCTCTTGGAAATTTCGCCAGACTGTCTTGGACCAAAAGCAATACTGGTCAGATCACCCCAACACTCGTAAAGCGTATCCAATGGCTTCTAATAGCGTTTTTACATGTCCGTAGTGCCCCCGAGGGGCTTGATGGTAGAGATTTCTCAAAGTGGGGTAGTCAGGGGTAGCAGGAAAAGTGCCCCGCCAACAAGCACAAGATGTCCAAACCTCTTACTAAGTTTGCTAAGTGACTTCCAAACTTTTCTCAAAGTCTTTGCACAAACATCGCTAGCCATGCCGTCGTTATGGCATTTTTTGTTCACTCGCATTAGGTATGTGTAGCTTTCCCATTTCTTCATCCAAGTCCGATATGGTCTAGTGGCTAGGATTTGCCGCTCTCATCTGCAGAGTCAGTTCACTGTACAGTGCCGGCAAGGCCCGGGTTCGATTCCCGGTGTCGGAAAACGATCTTTTTGCTTTTTTCTTGACAAGAAAGTACCTTTTTTCCTGCTGTTCAACTCTGTAGGATGGTCGGCACATTTTTGGAGCGCAAAACACCAGTAACACTAACAACATTTTCATCTTTTCCACGCCTCGGATGGTTGTTTCTTGTATAGTATAGCAGGTACAGTCACTAACGAGGAAGGCCCTTGGTAGTACCTCCCCTATACTACACCCTGATGGTATACATATTATGTTCTTCCTCAAGAATCCATAAAAAAGTGTTAGTGTACAACTCCAAGGTGGGTTCTGGGTTCAAAGTATAATTTAATAAACGGCTGTTTATCTATGGTCATACGGATTGTGCATCGTAGGCTGTCTTAAGTAGGTATACGAATTTTTATTCTGTTTGAGTCGTACTTTCTCGCGCCAAGTTGATCGAGAATTGCACCATAAGGAAAAAACTATAATGACTGACATTGGTATACAACAGATAGTGACAGTAGACACTGGACGTTCGCTAATTATCAGATAAGAATCCCAAACCATCCAACTATGGACAAAGTGCAAACGCCGATGATGATCCTTACAATAGTCGGCTGCTAGGCCAGCTCTCTTCCTTCCCACCGATTTTTTTCTAGCTTATGCCTCACGGAGTACCGCCGCCGTGTATCCGTTCTGTCCGGTACTTGCGTTTCCAGCTCCGCTCTTCAACCAGCAGTTCGCTCCATTCGCAGCTTCGTACCTTCCACGAAAGTCGGAGCTGATCACAGCGGCTTTGCATGTATTGTTCGTGCTACTGTCCATAGCGCTGTACTGACTGCACGCGTCAACGCATTGCTCCAAGGTATATGCAGTAAAGCTCATGAGGGTAGAATCCAGTATGTTGGTACTGTCGAGACAGCTATACGTGTAAACACCACTGATGTCCGATGTCTTGCCTTCCAACCGACTCGATATGAGGATTGTGGACGGACAAGTGGTATTGATCGATTGGATGGCGCCGAAGGGTAGCGCTATGTAGTCCGTTCCCGTGCCTTGAGATCCATCCGTTGGATTGTCCGTTGGACTATCTGGTAAAGTGTCCGAGGCACTTGCCGGAGCGCTCGCCAATGTAGGCGTAGGCATTAGTGTCATACTCGAGCTCTGTGCAGCCTGTTCAGCAGCCAGGGCTTCAGCCTTCCTAACAGACAATTAGGCAATGGCAAAGGATGGCACAACAAAGACATACTTGTCGGCTTTCTCTTGCACAACCAACCCTCCTCCTATGCTGGTACCCACGAGTGCAGCCACTATGGTAAACGACATGGCAATCGTAAACCAGTATTTGCGCCGTCTGTGGGCAAAGAACTTCTTCCACATGTCAGGTGGAACCTGAATGTGAGGCGCTTGATCCGGTAGATCACGTCCATTTCGATATGACAAAAGGTCGTGAGAGTTTCCAGTACGTGTTGATGCTGCATCTCGCTGTGAGCGATCGCGTCCATCGTGGTCATCATTGTGGAGTTGTGGTAGCTTCGTGTCACCATGTCCAGAGTAGCGGTTAACTGCCTCGGGATAAGTCTCAGGCTGTGCGATCTGCAAACCATCTGACATATCTGGCCTCTCTGCCTTCTCCGGTTCTGGCTTCTCCATCGTGCATGTGGTCTGCTGCAAGCCTGAGATTGGGTTTGGGGACGGTTAATATGATCGCATAACCGATGTGAGGGACCAAGTCGAGTATAAGTGTACTTATTTGCCGTCTAGTATCCTTGTAAAAGGCGCCCGGTAATCGAAACGTGCGTGTTGGCTTATCAAATTTAGTTGCGATTGCAGCAAAATAACATAGGGCTGCCGAAATCTCCTGATTGATCGCGGTTCTATGCATTGTAGATATGCGGGGTGATGTCGAAAGTCCTCTTATCTCGACAGGAAGGCAAATCCCAGCGTAAATTGCTGAAGGATTCCACGTATAGAAGAGCTTAGGGAGGAAATCAAGTACATCGATCAGCTAGATTGATGTCTTTGTAGGAAATCCCTTGCTCGCCCCTTACTGATTCTGACCCTTGCGCAAAGCTTGGCCAAATTATCATGCCACTACCTTCGAACAAGGTTAGCCTTCCATAAAGGAGGGAGAATTGTTTTGAAATAACGATATATCCCGTTCTTATGGCTTTCTCCGCATCTCTTGAGAGGTCAGCTTACCACTCAGTGCGCATTCCAAGGACGCGCAAAGATACACGAAAGACTGTCAACCTAGCAAGTTGGGGCTGTTTCTCTAGGAAACGGGCAGTTAAAATCTCTTTCTTTCCAGCTGGTAATGTTCTGTATCTGCTGCGCGTGGATTTACGCTGTTACCTAGGTTTACGCTTCCTACATCTGAGCGCCTGACCAACCTTCCTTTGTTCGATAAATTGAACTCGGGTCTTCGTGGAGGCTGATAGCACATTATGAACATGAGCTGCACATGTGGGTGTGTCGTTCTGACAATGTCGAGGGTGGATGGGTGGTCGAACGCGAAGAAGAGTTGAGCACCGCCACCGCCACACGATGACGTACTTCCCCGGAAAGTCCGTCACAAGAACGAGCAGAGCGACCAATCTTCCTAACGCTTGTGATGCTATCACATGCTGTGGCGCAGCTCCGAATAGGTATCGTCTCTCTTGTTAACTTTCACACACGTAATCTATTTCACCTTCCAGGCAGCAACTTTTTGCACATCTGCAAAGTTGAGGTCGCAAATCTCGTGAAAACTCTCGCGTCTGCAACTGCAGTCCTCCTTTTTGTCACGAATTATTTCGTGATCGTGACCTTTCCACCTACTCGCCACCTACGACCACCCATCTCCCGCTATGGACATCCCACGCGGCCACGCAGCAATGCCCCTTACAGAAGTTGACTTCTTGGATTTTGTCTACAACTACTTCAAAGCCGAGTACTATCCTATTCGCTCATTCTGGTCAACAGCAACTGCCTTCCCCCGCCAAACCGAACGATGGATAGCCATGGGCCACGAATTGTCACCACTCGTCGTGCGGCCCGCAAATGCGCAGGCGCAAAAAGATTTGGAATCCTTGGATTACTTCACAAGGAAATGGAACCTCGATGCTGGTTTTGTCAGAGGCTTGATTATTAGGTTCGCAAAGTACGAGTTGCATGAAAGATTAGAAAAGAGGCTGTATGAATGCGCGAGACTAGATTTGATGGTAAGAAAGGCGCTGAAAGAGAAGCACTTGATCGACGCACTATGGCCGAGCCCTGCGCCACGAAATATTGCGAAAGAGCTCTTGCAACAAGGCGTTCAAGCTCGCCAATGGTTCGGCGACATGTTCAACAAATACTTCCGCGTTCTACAGTCCCTTGATTCTTTCCAACTTCGCCCGGAAGTCGACCACCACATGAAAACTAGCGGAAAGCTGATGTTAATACCCTTTGTGGACCATCTGGTCTTCGGAGCAGTTGATCCCATCATACCAATTGTATCGAAAGGGGCAGGCTATGCAAATGCCAAAGGGAGAGAAAACAGAAATACCCCCGGTTTTGGTGAGCCAGCCAAGTTTGAGATCAGGTTCGATGCACCTACCGAGGTTACGGATACGTATACAAAGAGCGTCGTACGGCAGTGCCAGTGTATGAAGTGTGGCACCAAGAGAGATGTGCAGGTTGTAATTTCCGTGGACCCCAATCCCAATGCTGGAGCAAGTGCAGGTACATCATCCACAAGTCGACGACGCGACGCTGCAACATCGCACTCAAGGACCGCACAGCGCTACAGTCCAGGTTACCAGATGCCCAGTCAAGACGATGCAGCGCCCCCTCGCCAACCTCCTCGACCACAACCTCAACCTCTGGAAGCTGAAGTCTCAGAAAGACCATCTACACCCGACCTCAAGAAACAATGCCCTCGTTGTACATTCCTCAACGACCCCAACCTCACAAGCTGCGAGATGTGCGAAGCGCCCCTACCAGAAACCCCTATCCAGAAACCTCCCAGTCCAGCCGCCAACAGGAAGGTTCCCTCGCACTCCCACTCCGCATCACACCCACCTCCCAGTGTACCAAAGAGTAGGGAAGAAGCGTTGAAGCAAGAACAGAGACCCGGAGCGCCAAACAGGCATAGCCTGAGTGCAAGCCTATTCTCCATATTCCCATTCTCGCAACAGCAACAGCAAGAGCACCATGCCAAGCTGCCGCCCACACAGCAGGTTGATACATCACCAGCCATACAGTCATCCTCGCGACAACCAACGGGGAATCAAGAAGAAGTTAGACCATCTTCAAAGGAAGGAAAGAAACCAAGTGTCTCACCACCTACATCTTCTCACGCCGAGCCATCCAATTACCGTCACGGCGCCACTACACCACCAAATCCCGTCGACACTACACCAGAAACCCCATTATCCCGAAACCCTGAAATGGCGATGATGCCGCTATCTCCCTCTCCACCGTCTTCTTCCCGCCCGCGTCCTGCACCGGCTGGCCTGCCTAGTAATCTCATGGATGACTTTGTTCCCGTGTCATCAACTTTCCCCAAGGACGACGAAGACGAAGATGCTGGGTGGGGTTCAATGAGCCGGGAGGAGGCCCATGAACATGATAGTAGTGATGACGAGGACGAAAGTAGCGAAATGAGGGGCAACGGCGGGTTAATTGATTTAGATGCGGTGGCGAGGGAAGAAGCTGATGTTTGGGGAGATAGGGACGATTGAGCACGTTAGTTAGCTTCGAGGTAGTATGAGGCGTTTGGATGGGGATTGGAAGACGTTTTGCCACTTTGTTTTACTTGTCAGCAATATCTGGTGTGAACAGTCGCAGCCCTGATCACCCGGAGACGATTATGAAGTTTAATTGAAGGACTAGTGTTTGCGTGCGTTTGTCTATTACTCCCAAACACCATTTCCAAGCCCAGGTCTTGAGCGGAAAAGAATACACAGTAGAAACCAAGACAACTCCACGCTTCATAGGATCGCCTCTCCAAGCTCCGTTCAATGCGCCCAGCGTCTGCCCACATTTTGTTCACCACTTGCGACGAGCTTTCCCCACGAAGTCAATCGTGCCCTCCGTACGCCAGCTGAGCTTGTTCAGTACATGGCCTCAAGGCTGCCCTACGAGTTGAGGTAGTTCCGGACGGCACCCTGTAATTTTGTAGCGCCCTCGCCAAGCATGTTCGTCAGGTTCTCAAGATCGTCGCCAGCCGTGAGACCAAACTTGCGGACAAAGTCCTTGGCAGCGGTTTCAAGGTCACCGTAGTCTTCTTCCGCGACATCGTCCTCGGGTCGACCAAAGTATGCGTTGGAGGAGATGGCGCTTGCGCCTTCAAAGCCTTCACACAAAGTTAGCAACGCAAAACATGTGCTTTCGCAGAGGATGCATACCTGATAGCCTCTCCTTGGCCTGCGCGGTTGCGCTGGGATCGAATGCGTTTCGTCCGAAGAACTCGTCACTCGATATACCCTTTTGCGTACCAAATTTCTCCCGCGCGTACTTCTCCCCGTCGTCTTGCGCAGGCTTTCCTACGCTGCCAAAGCCACCCATCTTTTTCTGTGCTACAGGCTTCTTCGCGGCACCTACTTGCCCAAAACCCAGACGTTGTACGCCCATGCCTAACCTCTCCATATCTTGGCTGGAGCGCTCGGGCTTGGAAGTAGAACCGAAACCACCTCGTGGTGGCGATACGGGAGTGGGAGAGACGATGGCTGACGCCTCAGGAGCTTTCGATTTTGTGGCGGCGGCAGCCTCAGCGGCTTCGGCTTCGGGGTCATAGCCCAACTTCTCAATACGCTCTGCCTCTTCGCGAGCCTTTCGCTCTGCTTCCTCGAAATCCAGGCCTCCGTCAGCAGCAACCACCTTCTTTGCTCCGAGGCCCTTCTTCTTCGCGCCCAAGATGTTCTTCTTCGGCGCGGCGCCTGCGGTCGTCTTGCGAACGGCTGCCGGCTTTGCAGCGGGTGTGCTCGATTCGGAGCCGCCGACAAGTGGCGACTTGGGGCGATCGGTTCCGTTGCCGTTAGCACCAGGCTTCAGGAAGGGTGATCCAACCTTTGGTGTACCGGTACGCGAGGGTGGGTTCGACGGTCGCTTGATGGTGGGTTTGTCCCATGAGGAGAAAAAGTCGTCGTCTTCGCCAGCTGGAGTGTTGGTGCCGTCAGTGCCAGTCTCTGGTACATCTGTGATTACAACCTCGTTAGGGTATCTAGTAAATTCAGATTAGCATAAGTCACCCTGGACGACTGCTGTTCCGTACAATCTGGCGTCCGCAGCACAGCGCCTAGTCAGCTCCTCCTTGTACTTGGTGGCAGCATTGCTGGTGTATTTGGCTTTGTGGTCTTTGCTCGCAAGTGCGGCGGAGCCTCCATGCGATTGGAAGTATTTGGTAGCGCTTTCGTTACCACCGACTTTCATGATCCGTAATTGGTCCCATTGCCAGACTGTCGTTGGTCAGTACATGTACTGTATATGGTGTCCGTGGGTCTTGGGTGAACGTACTGTCGAGGTTGGTGGATCGCACGAAGGAGATGTGGACGCCCATGTTACGATGGTTGGACGAGCAGTCGAGGCATAGGTAGATGCCGAAAGGTACAGAACTCCATGTTGGGTTCTTTGCGCCGCAGTCGAAGCATATCTGGACATATGTTAGGCATTGCTCGAATCTCTCTATTCGAAAGACGACGTACTTTGTTCGCGGGCTTCGACTTCAATTTGGTGAAGATGTTTTGCGACTCGGTCTTGGTGGCGAGGGCAGCCATGGTGAAGACTGGGTAGGAATGGTGCGGGTTGGCGGTAAAGGAGTCGAGCTGTGGTGGGGATAATTTGGGTTGCGGCGCCGGGAATGCTAGGGTGTCCTATGGAAGCCGCGCTTGACACGTGATAAGCGCGATTATGCTCAAGGCTGCACTTCCATGTCACAGCTTCAACATTCTACCTTCACTCTCTGCGAGTCTTCGCATATTTCACACAGCTCACTCAAGATCACCTTGTTTGGCATGGCACTCGCCACGTATCTGGTTTCTCTGTACGGGCCAGGGAGGCCTGAGGATACCGCTTGACGATGCTACGCGCTTACTTCGTGTGCCTGGAATTGTTCGCTGAATTGTAGATACAGCTAGAGCTGTTGCTAATGACTATGATAAGGTTACTCATCGTATCTGTACCTTGCCTACACATATGACGCAGATTCTGGACCCCATCTTCCTATCTTCCCGTCCCACGACCTAATGCGACAGCACAAGTGGGGTATGCATGTATATCTGGAGGCGTATTGCCTCGCCTTCACACAGCAGTATTCTCCTATTTTACATCCTTATCACAGAAAGAGACACCTTGTGACACCTCACAAGCTTTAAGACATGGCTTCCTCTGTTCAAACCGTGCCTGCGCGCCGCGGAGCAGCCACCCTCGTCAAAGCCGGTCAGAAGATAAAAATTACAAACACTCATGGCAACCAAGTCGTCGATACCTGGGCAATCGCGCTTCCTTCCTCCGTCCTCACGGCTGCATCATCAAAGGTTGAAGCACCCCTCTACCCAAACGCGACTTCCGACTCGCCCTTTAAGTATTCTACTACTGCCAATACCGCCGCCAGCGCACCCGAATACATGTCCATGTGCCATTGCCGGGCAAGTCTGCTGAAAGTGACGCCTGAAGTAGGAGATGTCATGGTTAGTCAGAAGAGGGCGCCGATGGTTAAGATGGTGGAAGATACAAGTCCCGGCGTACATGACACTTTGGTTGCAGCATGTGATAGATGGCGGTACAGTGAGTTGGGCGTCAACGGTTACCACGAATCTTGTACAGACAACTTCTGGGACGCTTTAGAAGAGCTGACCGCATCACTGTCTCTATCGACTGAACAAAAGGAGGCTCTAGATGGCCTACAAACAAAGATGGGGTGCAGGGTTCCAGATCCGTTCAATTTGTTCATGAACATTCCTGTCACACAGGAAGGAGAGGGCGCGAAGAGAGGCATCAGTTTTGAAGAACCGAAAACGAAGCCCGGAGACTATGTAGTCTTGGAAGCGCTCAGAGACGTGGTTGTCGTTATGAGTGCATGCCCGCAGGACGTTCTTACGATCAACGGAAAGAATCCTGTAGATGCTCATTACCAGGTTGTGGACTGAAGCATCGACACCCACAGAATTGGTTCATTAAGCTACGGATGTACTTTGATGCAATATAACAAAGGTCTACCCGAGTTGATTTCAGATTCGACTACAACGAGTCTGGACCCGCCGAGTCTAAAATGATGAAAACGGGCGATATCATACATGCTCTTATGAGATCAAATCTAGATAGTCAATGCGCCATTCGCCCTACCATAATCTTTCTACTCGTGTCTACATCCAGCCATCGCCCCAGGACAGGCCTTTTGCACAGGCGTCTGTTCGGATGTGCAGGTAAGCAATCAAGGCGCTAGCGCGACCGGATGCGGGACTAGCGTTGGTGAGGCGAACTATTTGGACGTGCCCCACACGGTGGTATCGATAGCCTCTCGAACTTTTTTGCCCTGAAGTTCTGGATAGCGCAGACCGCCTCCCACGACAACAACATACCGCAGTCGCCAAAATGAAGACTCAGTGGAAAGACATCCCCGCTGTGCCTACGAGCCAGGAATTTCTGGACATTGTACTTTCCAGGACCCAGAGGAGGTAGGTTCCTTCTCCAAACGCACTCGCGCAAAGCGCCTTCTTTCTGCCGCCCTGCACTGTCGCGATTTTGAAGGCGCAATACGTACCGCACGAAAAGACGAGAAGCTGACAAATCCCTAGACTGCCGACGCAGATTCGTGCGGGTTTCAAGATCAGCAGAATTCGAGCCTTCTACACGCGAAAAGTCAAGTACACGTCCGAAACCTTTACCGAGCGCCTCAACACCACCATCGAGGCTTTCCCGCGCCTTGCGGATATCCACCCGTTCCACCGCGATCTCCTCAACACCCTGTACGATGCGGACCACTTCCGAATTGCTCTCGGTCAGCTTTCGACTGCAAAGTCGCTGATCGAGACAGTTGCGCGCGACTACGTGCGCCTTCTCAAGTACGGACAATCTCTGTTCCAGTGCAAGCAGCTGAAGAGGGCGGCGCTGGGACGTATGGCTACCATTTGCAAGAGGTTAAAGGACCCTCTAGTCTACCTTGAGCAGGTCAGGCAGCATTTGGGCCGTCTCCCATCTATCGACCCCAACACCCGCACACTCGTCATTGCTGGTTTCCCTAATGTCGGCAAGTCGTCGTTCCTTAAGTCCATCTCAAGAGCCGACGTCGAGGTGCAGCCCTATGCTTTCACCACAAAGAGTCTGTACGTCGGACATTTCGACTACAAGATGCTTCGCTTCCAGGCTGTTGACACGCCTGGTATCCTGGACCACGCACTCGAGGACATGAACACCATCGAACATCAGTCTATCTGTGCCATTGCCCACTTGCGCGCCCACATCCTCTACTTCATGGATCTCAGTGAGCAGTGCGGTTACTCTGTCGCCTCGCAGATCGCCCTCTTCAACAACATCAAGCCTCTATTTGCTAACAAGTTGATCTCTATCGTTGTCAACAAGATCGATCTTATGCGTCCGGAACAGCTCGATCCCGAGACACAGGAACAGCTCCAGGGTATGCTCAAGTCTGGCGAAGTCGAGATGCTAGAGCTTTCCTGCAACACTCTCGAAGGTGTCATGGCTGTGCGAAACTCGGTCTGCGACCGCTTGATTGCTGCTCGCAACGCCGAGAAACTCAAGGCTGGTACCAACAGCGCCGGCGAGCCTTCCGGTCGTCTTGGTGAACTGCTTCGCCGAATCCACGTTGCCCAACCGTTGGGCGGCGTCACTCGCGAGACATCTATTCCAGAAGCAGTGCTTAACAAGAAGAAGTACGACAAGGAAGATCCTGACAGGCCGCTCCTCGAGCGTGACCTGGAAGAAGAGAATGGTGGAGCTGGTGTGTACAACATCGACCTTCGCAAGAACTACCTTCTCGAGAACGACGAGTGGAAACACGATCGCATTCCCGAGGTCTTCAAGGGCCAGAACGTTTACGACTTCATCGACCCTGACATTGAGGCTAAGCTTGCCGCACTTGAGGCTGAAGAAGAGAAGCTGGAGGCCGAGGGTTTCTACGAGTCGGACGATGATCTGGAGGACGCAGAGGAGGCGGACATTAGGTACAAGGCAGAGCTCATCCGTGAGAAGAGGCAACTCATCCGGAACGAAGCCAAGATGCGCAAGAGTCTCAAGAACAGGGCCGTCATTCCCAGGACTAAGAAGGCGAAGCAGATGTCACAGATGGAATCGCATCTCGAAAGTCTTGGCTACGATGCTTCAAAGGCGGTTGAGCGTACGACTGCAAAGGCAGAGGCGCGAGGCCGCAGCTTGGCTCGTGGAAGATCAGAGGGTCCCGGTGGCGATGCCATGGACGTTGATACGCCCGGCGCTGCTATGCTTGAGCGTGCTAAGAGCCGAGGCCGCAGCCAAAGCACCAACAGGAGAACGGATGGTGTTACAAACGAGACTGCCGCCTCTAAGGCTGAGAAGCTGGCCAAGCTGTCGCAGAAGAAGATGAACAGGATGGCTAGACAGGGTGAGGCCGATAGGCACCAGACTGGTTCCTTGATCAAGCATTTGGTAAGTTTCTTTATTCTCTCCTCCCTATTCAGTGCGGGTGCTAACAACTGTTCAGACTGCCGGAAAGCGTGGTATCGGAAAGACCAGCCACAGATAAGCAGACCTGAAGTCTTTCGAGTTCTTGCATTGCGTGTTTGCAGGTGGGGAAAATCATGGCTGGCGTTTGGGATGCATTAGATACCAACTCGCTGTTGTTGAAAGCAGCGTGGTAATGCAATACTTCTTTCCATCAGTACTGCATTCTGGACTAGTGCCGTTGTGTGACCTCGTGGTTGGATATGAACTGCTGGAATGAACATCGACGCATAACATAACAATAGCATGGCAAGATCAATCCCGGGAACGTAAGATCGTTATGTATGTCCGTATGGTACCATGGGGAGAATCACCATCTAGCTTTACGTCTGATTAGCCTCATGGTGACGTGAGATCATGATTCGGAAGTTGCGCTGCTAGGACAAGATTCACATCAAACTCTTGTTCATCTCTGAAAACAAGGCAGAAATATAGACGATATACGTAGTGCATAAGACCTATGCAACATACAGTGTATCTGCTACAGCAGGCAATGGGACGTACTCTCGCGTTCATCAGAAGTTTCATATGTACTAAGCTGCTCACTGGGAAGAACTATACACTCATCTTCATGGATATAGCGGCATGTGGTTTGTACCCCAGGACCTCGAATTCCTCGGCTTTCCAACCATCGATGCTGCCCCCAATCTCTCGGTTGATCTTGAGTGTAGGGAACTCTCGCGGTTCGCGCTCCAGCTGCACCTTCAGCGCATCTATGTGGTCGATGTATACGTGTGCGTCGCCCATTGTATGTGTAAATGTACCGGGCGTTAGGTCGCACACATGAGCTAGCATGTGAGTGAGAAGCGCGTAGGAGGCGATGTTGAAAGGTACACCGAGACCCATATCGCAGGATCTCTGGTAGAGGAGGGAATGTAGGACGCCTCTTGGTCGTTCTTCGCCTTGCTTGTGTCCCGGAAAGGAAACATAGAATTGCGCAAACATATGGCAAGGTGGCAAGGCCATCTTCTTGATATCTGCGGGATTCCATGCACTTAGTATGATGCGCCGGTCGTAGGGCTTGTTCTTCAACTTGTCGATTATCTCAGCGAGTTGGTCGACACCTTGGCCTGTGTAATCCTCTGCATGTCCCTTGTACTCGGCGCCAAAATGCCGCCACTGGAAGCCGTATACTGGACCCAGCTCGCCTTCCTCGTAGTGGTTTAGGCCCACCTTGTCGAGGTACTCCCGACTGCCGTTGCCGTCCCAGATCTTGATACCAGCGTCCGAGAGAGACTTGCTGTGTGTGCTGCCTGCGACAAACCATAGCAACTCGCCAATTACGGCACGAGTAAATACTCTTTTTGTTGTGAGGAGGGGCAGGATGAGTTCTGGTGGCTCTGTGGGGTTGCTCGAAGGTCGCGATAATGCGAACTTCATTTGTGCGGGAAAAGGAATTGCGCGTGTGCCGGTTCCTGTCCTGTCGGGGCGATGTTCGCCATTTTCGAGTATATCGCGGATCAAAGAGAGGTATTGTTGCTCCTCGTGCGCGGGGTTGCTGGGTGGCGGTGTAGTTTGCTTCGTGGTGTCTTTGGGAGGCTCGGGAGTTATGACGGGTTCTAGCGCGCTTGGAGGCATGTTTACTACGGATCGGAGACTTGTATGTATGTATTTAGGTGCTGTGGTGTAACGTCAAAGTGAAAGTCGCGAGGCGCGTCAAAGTCTCCCAAAACCGCGACTGCGCGAGTGGCTCTTGCGGCTCACCGTATCGAATGCTCCGACCTAACTGCATTCGCATCTGCCACAAAACACCGACACTGGAACACACCCTCTGGTAGAATGGCAGAAGAACAAGCAGCTCATCACTTGCTAAACGTAGTCGAGGAGCGAGGTCTCAAAGTCGATCTCGATAACATTCTCCTAGGTTTTGAGGATGTGAAGACCAAGCACGAAGCTGCGGTGTGGGTTGAGGAGTACCTACACGAGGACACCCTGCTCAGTAAAGAGGAGCTAGAATTGTGAGTCCAAACTCTGATTATACAGGCTTTTGCTGACTGAGTCTAGGTACCAGACTCTCAAGAAGAAGGGCCTTTTGCACCAGTACGAAAGCGAAGGTGAACCCATCCGACCCATTTTGGATCATGAAATTGCTGCAGCAATTGAATCATTGAGAAGCTCCACTACTGCGATTGAGGAGCAGTCCAAAGTTTTGGAGGCACAGAAAGATGCTCTGATGAAGTTAAAAGCTCTTGACAAGCCCAATTTGGATGTCGAACATGCAAGAAACGAGCGGAGAAGGAAGGAGGGACAAGAAAAAACTCGTCTAGACGTCTCTGTATGTTGTGACAAATTACAAACTCAACTTTTCTAATACGCATAGGTCGATGATGTAGTTGCATCCGTCACAGAGCAGATGGACGATGCTCAGCGCGAGATTGATTCTGACAAGTCAACACTGAAAAGCTACCTCTCGGAACGCTTCACGTCAGACGATCAGATCTTAAGCCGACTCCCTAAGCTAGTGTCTCAGATCGTCACTGAGCCTGAAGTCAGCGAAGACGAGAAGTCGATGGAGCAGTGGTGCAAGGCGATTATTTCCTTTCGTGCTGCAGAGATCAAAGCTCGAGTGGATACTGTGTTTCTCACCAACGCATTAGCAGACTCCCAGAACGGTCTTTCCGAGGAAGCAGAGGCCAATCTCAAAGAGAGAAAGGTCGCCCTGCAAGCTGAACTGGAAGAGTTACACTCTGAAATCGCATCTGTCGCTGAAATGGTTGTCGAGCATGAGATACGCAAGCCGATGACTGAAATGAAGGAGCGTAAAGATAGAGACAGAACACAGGCACGAACTGCGTGGCTCAACTATGTGAGTAACATCCCAAGAGACATTGGACTGTTGCTAACAAACTAGGTGCTCTCAACACTCGAATACATGGGCAAACGTCTCAGCATAATCAACACTGGCACGCAAGATACTGACGAGTTCCAACAAGCACTGGCGCACGTCCAGGCAGCAGCAGCGAAGCGCACACCAGAGACACAGGCACTGGCTGCGACACCCGGATTGAAACGCATGAACTCCAGCACCTCGGCTTTTACTCCCATGGTCAAGCTCAAGCCTACATCGACGCTTGAGCTTCCGGTAGCACTTCAAGATGCGCTTCGTCACGCAGGCATATCTTTCAGTCAGGATAACATCGAAAGCCTACAAGATGTTCTGCAGCAAGCTCAACTTGAGCGGGGCAAGAAGCTTCAAGATCACTATGAATCTACCGCGACATCGATTCATGACGGACTCGCTGAGCGATCCAGCAAAGCAGACACAGATCTGAGGGCTATTTTGAGCGCGCTATATAAGCACGCGCCATTCCAGCAGGCTAGCTTGATGAACCCAGAGTTGGACGAGCAACTGAAGGCGATGGAGCTTGAGCTTGAGAATAAGGACCGAGAGTTGCTGGATGCAGAAGGTAGCGAACTAAGCTTGAGCGACCCTAAAGTTCGTGCGTTCATCGGGAAATACGGTAAATAAAGCGAAGGTTTTGACAAGCAGGTTTCAGGGCTGGTCGGTGCGTTGTCGCGGTGGAGGTGACAAGTCGAGCTGGGATGATCCAGGCGCGTATCAAAGATGGAGTAAACACGACGTGGAGATGTTGTTTAGATGTTGTTTACAGCGCCGAGAAAGCTCTCTTGATACAAGGTCAAAGTGTCTCTCTTCACCGCTTTCGATCTGCTTGGTGAACATGATCAGCTCGTCGGTTGCAAGCGATGGAAGCCACATGTTCGCGGGTGGAGCTATGGGGGAGGAAGGACCTCGGACTGGTCGCGAGGAGTGATGAGCTGCAGCTAGTCGGCCCCCATGTGGCTAGCACCCAGCCCCCGAATAACACTAAACATCATCGGCCCCTGTCAAGGCTGCCCTGAGTAGCTGACGGACAACAACTCTGCTCTCCTCACAAACTCACCAAAGCGTCTATCCCCACTTTCGCAGCCGGTTGAACCTGCGCGGGATGCTCGCGCCAGGTACAGGCAGAGACGCAGGCCCTCATTCACTCAATTGAACCATCACCATCACCTTGCCGGTAGCTCCCTGGAGCTATCCTCACACCGCCCGTCATGGTTAAAGGAGAGATTCTCACCCTCGGTGCTGCCGCTGGTGCCCTTGGAGGTGCTTACAAGCTTGCCGAATTCCTCAACAAGGCCAAACGCGTCCGCGACGTCGGTCCTTCCAATGCAGTCTATGTGCGCATCATTGGCCGCGTCCAATCCGACCTTGATGAAGTGAGACGTCTTCTCTCCATCCGCGAGATCCACGACATCCTCGAAGCCAACCCTGAGAAGTCCAAATGGGTCTACGGATGCATGCGCGATGTGCGCGGCGCTCTCGAGAACATCACGCCGCACACGGAGCGCGTCGCTGGCGATATCCAGGACGGTCGCCGTATCGGTGTCAGGCACCGCGTCTACTGGCTGCTCAGCGAGAAGGAGAAGCTGGAGAACAGAGAGAAGGAGCTCAACATCGCGCAAGCCAGTCTCAGTGCGGTGCTCGGCTACTTGACTGCTCTGGAGCCGTACGAGGAGCCGCATAAGCCCAAGTCCAAGAAGGAAACTCATATCGACATCGACATCCACCAGGAACCTCCCCAGCCTCAGGCCCAGCCTCAGCCTCAGCCGACGCACACAACGCACATTGACCGGGAAGTCTGGGTCGAGCGTGACGGTGCGCCGCCTCGTCATGTAGAGGAACACCGCGATGTCTGGGTTGAGCGCGACCGTCATCCTGCAGCCCACTACGAGGAGCGTCGCGACGTGTACATCGATGAGCGCGAGCGCGGACCTCAACACTACGACGACCGCGGTCCCGCTCCCCGTTACGACGCTCACTTTGAACACCAAGGCCGCGATGCTCGTTACGAGACTCAGTATGACGAGCGCTTCGAGCAGCAAGACCACTACCGCTCGCAGTACCCTATTGAGACCCAAGGCAACTACAACCAGACCCGTCCCTTCCCTGAGCCCCTCGGCCGCCGCCCTGAATCGTTCGAGGACCGTCTTCCCGAGCGCGACTCCTGGATGCAGAGCAATGCGCGCGCCAACCAACGCCCAGGTCAGTACGCCCCCCGTGGGTACGCCGAGTACGGTGCACCGCAACCCATCGGCGCAGCCCATTATTCGCGTAGGTTTCAAGGAGACGCGGGCTTTGGCGACGAAGAAATACTAAATCCACAACCAGTGCCGTTGGACAGGCAGTACGCCGAACGTGAGGTGAGTGGTTACAACACTGGCTACCCGCCCCGTTACGGTAGCAAGCTCTAGATGTTAGCATGAGGCTGACATGCGGGCAGATGTGGATCGAACAAAAGGAGGATTACCGGTTCGATCAGTACGGAAATAGGCTGCCGGATAGGCTTTTCCAGCCGGCTGTGCCTAGGCCCTATCGCAGCCGCATGTAAACTGCAATACCTCTTGGATACGATTAATCTCCTTTTCACTGTCACGAGCCTTTTTGTCTTTTGTTACCCCCCGCGCCCGATGTTTCTATGTAGCTGCAAATTCAAGTTGATACCTCCCTACCAATCGCTCTTCCCTCGTTTACTTACCACGTGGCTCGTTGATCACTGAACAACTATCGTCGCTTCCTCTCGAAAATGCGACACCCTACAATTGTATCGAGCATGTGACCCAGACACATCTCTCCTAAAAGAGGGAATCGCATCATGGACCCCCCTCGCTCCCGACCTTGCACCCACGGTACTCATCGAACCGCTACCAGATAACAATACGACCCTGAGAATCTGGGAGCCTGCCACTGCCCTTGAAGCATTCCTGCTCTCCTGCCATCGTCGTTCATCACCCTTTCCAGTATTCACGACATTGACCTGTAACTACACAACACCGTACAGACATCCATCCCGACCAGTATGGTACGAACTACCTCGTGGGAGAAGACACGATCATGCTTCTTCATGTTCGTTCGCGCAAAATCCACACGCTGGCCTAACAGCACCAGATCCGCAACAGATGCACTCCTTGCTCTGTCTATACTCATCGCTGTAGCACAGTTCGGTCTCTGCGCCGCCATGGCGCACTGGTTGCTTAGCTCACACCGCGAGGTTCAGTGCTGGAACGTGAGCAGCACGAGAGATCTGGACTTCAACGGCTTTGGGCTAGGGTCCAGACCATCGGACTTCGTATTCCAGACGGAGACCAAGAGCTTGCCGCTTACCTATGCAAACTTGGACAAGACCTTCAACGTGGAGAGAGCTCAAGAAAACGGAGAAGGTCTGTCAGGGCCTGAGTATCTGAGTGCTGGAGCCATTGGTGGGACATTGTAGGTTGTCTTGTTCATCTGTTCTACTGCTATAGGCACGAAGAGATGCTAATCGATGTCTCCATAGTACAATCATCGCGATCCTCGTTTTCAACCCTCTGTTGCTGGTTATTGACCTTTTGCTCCTGCTTCGAAGCCACTACCGGTCCGCACGAATCTCCAACCGTGCTGGCATGCTCTGGTCTATGTGCTTCTCGATTTATTTCCCCCTGGTTACTCTAGGTGCTGTTTGGCTAGATAGCTTTCCTAGCGACAAAATCGACGACAGCTACGATACGTGCTGGCAATATGACAAGACAATGAATGTGTTGGAAGGGCGGAGCCGATGGGCAAAGGGTATCGTACGAGGATGTGAGATTTTGGGAATGCTGGGAGCGTTATGGTAAGTCCGAAACACCACGTGGACTCAAATCACTAGGACCTCAGCTTACCAGCAGCAGCATGGTTGCCTACTTCGCATTCGCTCTCTTTGCCGCGTACATGAATCAACGAGCCGATGCGCAACAGTCGATCAGACTAGACGATCTTAGTAACCCTTCGTCCACTACCCACACTGACAACCACCGTGATCTACCATCTGCTGGCCTCGGCACTCGGGCAGGCCCCATCCGGATGAACAACTTCGGCATCACGTTCATAGATGCTACCCCAGGCTCAGACAGCCAGTCCAGAACTGAAAGGTGCCGGCAAAGGCCGTGTGAGGATCAAGAAGTTCTGACAAATCCCTTCGCAGATCCTGAAGACCCGTATAGAGGCGGGGTGGGGAGTCAGAGGTCAGACAGTGGAGATAAACAACCCTGAAAAAGTGCTACTCGACAAGCAGGCAGCAGGGATAGGTATTCATCAGTCCCTCAATTTCTCGGCACACTCATCGTAGATTCGGTCCTGTAGCTAAGACGTATATGATGAACTGTAGATTTCATTGGTCACACTACAAGCGCTTCCAAATGTTCAGCTTCTTCCACAGTCCGACGATATGTCTCCTCTTCATAACAGCCAGGCTGACTAACGAGTGACTAATTGTTGCATTGGAGTACTCGAACAATGGGGAAATGCGTTAATTAATTGCCCGTCGGCGCGTACAAGAGCGACGCTACCTTCTCGGCAAAACTGGCGTGAAAGAGACTTGAACAACGATGGAGTCGTCTGGTACTGAACAAAGGAATCAGCCAGTTGCTCTCTTATGTCTTTGTCACTCGCATCAATTCCTCTTTTTACTCGTCTCTGGCTTTGTTCATTGATTTGGAGGAGATGGTACATATGATTCCAGGGTGCAACTTGCATTTGTGGCCGTCCACAGCCCTTCCAAATCTCAAGGCCTTATCTTCCAATAGCAAACAACAAGGTGTCAGTCATGTCTAGCGACAACGGTCAACGACCTCCAACCGCCGGAAACACTGGCAGAGATGACCCACCACCCGCTTCGCGCCCGTTAGAAAACAGGGAAGATATTATTAACAAATGGCTCAAAGATAACTACATCGACTACAATTATCTGGGAAACCCTCTTGCGCTCAAAGTAGATGAATTCATCAAAATTGTCGCAACTCAATCTACTGACCCTGACAATAGTTGGCTAGACAACAATGCACTGGAACTGGCTGCAGTCATTTTGACGATTGAACTGAAAAAACGAAGCGATATAGTCATCGTGCCATCAAGCGCCGCCATCAGCCTGGCCCGCATCGGTCAGTGTATGTGCAGCAAGGATGAGTTTGAGAAAGGTGTTCTTTCGACCGGATGTTATGCTGCTATGAAGAAAGAGAACGTACGATGGATCGTTGTTCCCGTGACGGATGGTATGATTAGCAGAGACGAAAGCTCAATACCTGGGGGCGGCAGACATTGGGGCTTCATGATAATTGACAAGCAGAGAAATGATGCCAGATGGTTAGACGGCCATGTGACACTTGAGAAGAACCGCAAGGGCAAGTGGCGTATAACAAAAATGTATGGTGCAGGACGGGTTGCTGGTAAGATTCTCTGTGGATACGAAAAAGTTATGGATCTCAAGCGAGGGAAATTCACAGCAGCAACACTCAAACATGTCCCTAATGACACCAAAGAAAATAGCTATAAGTTCGATCAAGGCTCAGCGTGTGGACCATGGGTGTTCGCTATGCTTGAATATATACTCGATCACCCGAATTTTCTCACATGCGCGGATGGACTCTACGGCATATTTAGGCACAAATACAGGCAGCGGCACAGGAAAGCCATGGCCTTTCACTCATTAGCATCGCGCAAGCGCATACAGGAGATTATTCGGGGCGTGGCGGACAGCAACCTAGGAGATGATGTATTGCCGTACAAGATGAGTACGCGCATTTTGAAGATTCTCAACTATCCTAGCACTGTCGATCTGTTGGTTGGAATCAATTTCTTTAATCGAAGCAAGACACCTCCACCTGAACGTGGCCATAACGGAAATTCGGAGAAGGGGCTTGATGACGATGACGATGACGATAACGACAGCGACGATGATAGCGACGATGATAGCGACGATGATAGAGAAAACAGCGATGAAGCGGACGAAGGTCTGCAAAAGGCAATTGAAGAAAGTTTCCATTCTAACAAAAAGAATTCGGCACAAGGACCTCAAGGAGCCCAGGGTCCTACGAAGTCAAGGAAGCCTTCAGAGCCCCCAAGCAAGCCTCCGTCCTCCGAGCAAGCGACCTTTAATGTGATATATGAGGTCTTACTTCCCAAACATATCCCAAACTTCGAGCCTATGACAAGCGAGGAAGTTCAAGAGTGGGTCGATCGGCTTCCGTCCAGCACTAAAACTCGTACGAGCTTGATGAATACGTGGGGTCAGAAAGCTGTTCTCCAAAAGCTATTCGGTGGTTTTGATGAATTATCCCAAACGCAACTGCGGTCTTGGCGGGAAAAGGATCCACTATTCAAGGATAGCCACGGTGTGGAAATCGAACATGTAACTACAATGCTGCAAGATAGCGTCAAAGACATAAGGGACATCTCGTTACAAGGAGGGATAATTTATTACCCTCTGAGCTACCTGGAAGACTTCGCAGTGCGAAACACAGTAGATCAAGCAACATTAGAGGCGGGTACAAAACTCGGGAACGACAATTTGGATGATGAGGATGGTGATGACATCTTTAATTACGACTATGAGGCCGAAGAAAACGATCCGATCCTACCACAACCTAAAGAACCAAGTGAGCAACCATCAGGCGTGGATACCTCTATTAAGCGGAAGCATGTGAAGGACAACGCCGATGCACCCACAGCGAAAAGACTCAAGCCGTCAAGACCAGACTTTCTAACGATGAAAGATTCCGAGCTACCCCTCTGGCTTGCGAGCGTACCTGAAAAGAAGAAAGCTCCGCTGCTCGACTCTGGAAGGAATTTGATTGATCCAATCCGTGCACGAATTCACCTCGAGGGCATATTCAACGGTACGTTCCGAGAATGGGCGGCCGAGGAGTCTTTTTCTGAGATAAGCAAGGAAGAGATCAAGGAATGGAGAAAGATGGTAGACGGTGGAAAGGGTTTTATTAAGGATTTGGTACCGTAGCGACGATGCAGGCCTGAGAAGATTTCTGGACAAGAAACTGTACCCACGGGAAATGACATATTTACCGGATTATAGCCAGGACGAGACGAAATGGCCTGAGCATTGGAAGAAAGGAAAGGAGTAAAGGCGCTGGGAAGTGATAGAGCAGTTTGCTTGTTTGTCTTTCTTTCGATGCATACAAACATGATATCAGGCTTCATATGTACAGTAGCTTGTACAAAATTGTAAGATAATAACGAACTTGTTGGTCGTTTTCGGTTTGATTGAGACCTGAACATGTGATGGCTCACAGGCTGCTCTGTAGTGATGAGTCGAAGGACTCGTGTACACCTATACTAAAGATGTGTTGAAGCCACTCTTTGTCATCTAGGTGTGATCAGACTCTCACTCACGGCATCTGGGAGTGTAGCAAACTTACCTTTTGCCGCAACATGCCGAGAAGACGATAACTTGTTTTGGTTTGCTGTCCTGTTTTTGGGCGCGAATGAAAAGGCCTGTTCAGGACTTCACTTCCCGACGGGCGTGATCTTGGGTAGCGCGTCCCGCAGCTCTTCCCTATCCTTGTCGGTCGGGACGAGGCCAAATTTCTCTTCAGCCTTGTCGGATATGTATAGACCAGCGCCCGCGTACGCCATGACACCGACGCCAATCATCATGCGCGTCTTGGGCGGTATGCCCTTGAACCATCTATGTGAGTGTTAGTCGTATAAAATTACACGATCACAACGTGCACGTACTGCCAGACAGACATGTCAAGGATGAGAATGTGCAACTGCGCTGCAGTGGTGTCACAGAGTTCGGGATGACGACGCATAGAGGGTCAGTGCCAAGCCTAGAGGAACCCTCAGACTCCAGCGCGACACAACCATATCGTTCCCATGCACCTAGCGCATCTTGAAATCACGATCGACCATATAGAAAAGCCTGTATTCTTCTCCGACGCGCAGGTCGTTCCTTTGGAGCCAAGCCTGGCATGATAGCTTGGGACGTTGGACATCGATTGCCGCACCTCCGCACCAGCTCCGCACCTTGAGAACAGATGTGCGCGCTATTACCACCCGCTTCTTGAGCGCATCCGGCAGCACCATAAGGCTCCTACCACTCTCCAACTATGCCCGGCTTTCGCCGCTGGGGCAAGTCGAAATTCGAGCGCAATCCCGAGTCGTCGTTCAAGCTCCTCGCAGCCATCATCGTCATCACACTGTACCTCCTCATCAAGGAGTTCCAGAACCCGACTGTTCGAGACAGGGGTATACCAGCGTTTGGGGCACAGATCCAGCATGCAGACTGGAATGGAACAGGCAAGGCGGAAGAGGCACGGGCGAAGAGCGTGCGGGATGCCATGAAATATACCTTCTGGAAGTACAAGGAGAACGCTTGGGGCTGTGACGACATTCTCCCTGTGTCGGGAGGCAATTCCTCGTCCAGAAATGGGTGGGGTGCTTTCATCGTGGACTCGGCGAGCACCTTGGCCCTGATGGGACTATGGGACGAGCTGGCGCATTCTTTGGAGCATATACTGGCTATCGACTTCACCGAAGCGAAGGACCTCGTCGACCCTTTTGAAACCACAATACGATACTTGGGCGGGCTCTTGTCTATTGTGGACATGTACGACGTTGGGCTCATTCCGGAGGATATACTGAGCGAAGAGGCACGCGACCTTGTACTCGAGCATGCTGTCACTCTAGCAGGGAAGCTTGCCCCAGCATACGATACTCCCACAGGCATGCCGTGGCCCCGTGTCGATTTCGACACAGAACAAGGCGAACCAGACCCTTCTTGGGTCTTCAGCGACGACCCAACAAAACACGGCTACGACGAGCATCCCGCCATAGGCCCTGCGCGGACCGGCTCCTCCATACTCGAGAACCGCATCCTGACCAGATTGACTGGCGATCCCATCTATACGCAGAACTCGACAAATGCATGGGCACCCCTAGTGTGGTCCAACTGGAAGACACCGTGGGCTGGTATGGTCGACGCGCCCATCGATATCATGACAGGCGAGCCAGTGGGTCGCCAAAGGCACTGGGACGGTGGGCATGATTCATACTACGAATACCTTGTCAAGATGACACTCTTGGCCCCTCGGACAGATCCTCATATCGGCACATACAAGCGACGCTTTACCGACGCAGCCTACTCCCTACGCAAGCATCTCAGTTCCCGGTCCGCACCTGCACCTGATCACTACATGCAGCACTTGTACATCGGGCGTCATAACGATAAGCTGTACGAGAATCAGCAAGGACACCTCGCCTGCTTCGCACCTGGCACCATTCTCCTCGCTTCCAGACTTTACGACCAACCCTACCTCCGAACCTTTGCGCTCGCGCTCCTCGAGGGCTGCCGCCACTCGTACGCCTCCACACCTACGAAGATCGGTCCTGAGACCTGGGCCTGGATACCCAAGTTCGGATACGACGATCCGCACTTTGTCCCAGAAACCGCACGTCAGGAGCGAGAGGCCATGAAGAGCGGCATCTGGTCGCTGGAACCAGCATATAAAGGCCGGCCCGAGTATGTGGAAAGTCTCTTCTACGCATGGCGCATAACGGGCGATCAACGGTACCGTGAATGGGCCTGGGAAGCCTTCTCAGCTATGGAAAAGCATTGCAAAGCGCCATTCGGCTACGCACAACTTGCCGACGTTTACGATACGCATACGAAGGGTGAGGATAGGTGGGTAGACATGCAAGAAAGCTTCTGGGCAGCGGAAACATTAAAATACCTCTGGCTCACGTTCTCGGATGTCGAGGTTGCAAGCTTGGATAGCTGGGTGTTCAGTACTGAAGGCCATCCGTTCCGCATGATACGGTAAGGTACGTCGTAACGGTACGCTTTGGAACAAGAGAGTAGGGTTGTAGCATATTCATCAGGACAAAGGCGACAAAACAAGGCATAGAAGGCCATGGGAACCTCCAACAGGTGAAAGGGGCAGTTCAAAAATAGAGCGCTGTCAAAGCAGCAACGGCGCAATGATACCCTAAGTCAGATTCGCATCAATAAAAAGGTTAAGAACATTACAAGCTCCATTCGCTTCCTAACCATCTCTCTTATCTCCCACGGCCTGTCGCTTTGCTGGCTCATGGCACCCATCCTCAATCTTCAGTTGTTGACTGTCTATTGCACTTGTATGTACTGTTCAAGCTGTCCTCAATCAAAAGTAAAGTGAGACCTAGTACAGTTGGGTAGTACGAACGGTCGAGTGTTGAGGACATTCAATATAGACATCTGTCAGGAAGAGTAACTTTGAGCAAAGGTGTGACAGCAAAGGACATCGCGTAGCTGTATTTATAGGCAACATGTCCCTTCCTGGCGAGAACAAGATGTTTCTACCAGATAGCTGAGGTTGACAGTGGAAAAAGATTTCCTCCAACTTTCAGCTTCTTGTAGCTATTAAAATCGATTTCAGAGGTGTATTCGACCAGTGTATATGCAAACTACACTTTTGCGATAATAAAGAAAGAAAAGGGGAGACAGGTATACTCATGTACTGTATATGGTAGAGAAACGTCAGTTCTCGTCTGCAACTGAAAAATACGCGTCAGGAGTGGGTGCAAATGATTAAAGAACATTATGATGAGTTTTGCCTTCGAATGTAGATCAAGGTGGGAATTGTGAACGTATGGTTCAAGACCGTCCTTTTCTCTTATATTCTGCTTTACGTTGTCTTCATCGTGTGCCGCAGTGATATCCAAATATCACGACTCGTCAATATAAAGCCATCTTCAGCAATTTTCCGTCTCCGCAATCCGAACCTTCTTTGCTAGATTCGATTCATAGTGCGGTGAAGCAACTAGTCATCCCAACTTTGAGAGTGTTCACACTTGCTGGTCCGGCTGATGCATTGCAAATACGTGCAGCTCAGTTTCTGGTGACTAATGAACATCTCGTATACTTCACGCGCACTTTTAGAAAAACGCCATTAAAGAAAAATCTTGATATAACGACAGATAGTTTTGATAAATATGTAAGAAAGCTCAGCATTAACGGCATCAACCACCACCGCCGCCACCATCGCCACCACCACCATATCCTCCGCTGTCACCACCAGCACCACCATAAAGAGCCCAGCCGGAATGAGTTCCACCGCATCTCGAGCTCGGCCTCACCACTTCCATAACTTTGGCATGTGCTTGCTTTTTGATGTTGGTCATCGTATGCGTAGGGCCACGAGATTTTGCTAGCTTCATCGAGTCGCCGCTTCCACTGCGTTCTGCTCCAATGGATTTGCTCGACATACAGCCCATTACTGACGATCGCTGTGGTTTTCTACTCAAATTGACGCTTTGTCGAACCGGCCTAACCTAGATAAGTGATTATATAGGGTGAATAGGCGATACAGCTATACGCACAAGAAGTAAGCGGTGACTGGTGAGCTTGAATAGTGAGCTTGCTATCGACGAAGCGATCGCTGACCAGAAGTATCTACACGAAAGAACTGGGTTATGACTACTGATGGCATGCTATCATATATCATCTCCACGTCGAATACAGCTGGAGAGCCTGGGCTGATTCCAGGAGCACAGAAGGTCTTGTGACGACGCCTGTGGCTTGCGCCTATCTGTTATCGCGTAAAGTTTTACGCAGCAAAAATTGGCTGCAACTCGGGTCCCGACTTTTGACAATAAGAAACTGCACACACTTTGGATACTGGAACCATATATTCGAGGCGGTAATTGATGCTGGGTATATAAACGATAGAACAAGAGATGTAAAAGCGAAAGCAGACCATCGCTAAGATCAAAGCGGAAATAAACCGCGCTGGAACCACGAACTACGGAAGAATTTCGGGACACCATCTGGATGCAGTAATCGGAGGCGTGCAAATAGGCTTTCTGTGGGTTTTGTCCGAAAGTCTGCCCTGTGACGTGCAGCAGACTGGGCCTCGGCACGGACGGACATTGGACGCGACCACCGAGACGGAGTCATTGGCTCGTCAACAATACCCGATCGTCCGGTCTGGAGGATATGCCTCCGAAGAGAGGCCGCATGATGTGTGCGGCGTTTGATGCATGAAAGGAAGTCCGGTGAGACGGCGAAGATTTATGCAAGCGCAATCGACGCTGATTGGTGTCGAGTCGGGACGATGGAAATAAATGTTTCGTACCCAGTGTCAGACCTCCATATGCGAGGGCACAAGGCTTTTGATATACCTTGGTTCAGACCGCACCCATGAGAAACTTCCAGTGAAAATCGGTACTGGTGATGTCAAGCGAAGGAGTTACGTCCCGCAAACTCGGCAGCTTTTCTACCCCATTGGTAGAACCATTTCCGTTAATCTTAGGAAGAGCTAGGTTATGGAGCAGGGAGACAGTCCGTCCTGAACCAGTCGCAAGTTCAAACGTATTGCCGTTTGGGCTTCCCCTGCCAACTGCATCGTGTAATGCTAGTCTCATCACCGATGTGATACGTCGAAACCGCTCAAACGCGTCTTCATGGGCGTCCTGGGCATCGCGAGGGCGAGGCATTTGCGAGGATAATTGTTCGCGGAAATAGTCGAACGACTTTGCGATCTGCAGTTCACCAGCATCCCAGCCCGGCATGGGTGAAGCATGAACTGCCAGCTTGTTCAAGCTAGTGATGGTGTTTATCAAGTTCAGCCAATCGATCAACGATACTGAATCGAAATGCTTGGTTGGAAGCTTTGTGCTGTTGTCGAGGAACTGTTCAGTCGACCGCACCAAGGTAACGCGTAGTGATAACTGGAAGCCTGAAGCCCAGGGTGTACTATCGCGATCCACGAGATCAATGGAAGCAGCGGTCCGATACAGATGTATGCGTGCTGCAAGCTGCAGCCATTGCAATATTGCTAGCGATGAATCAGTAACTATGCATCCTATCGTGGCATGGTTACTTACTGAAGTCATTTGCTTGCAGTTTGGACGCAAGACGGATGTTGTCCCATTTGTCACTCAATCGTTTGACCTGAGTACGAACCACGACCGCTTGCTCAGATTGATTACGAAAAGTCTCCTCCACGTCTTCCATGTATTGGCAGACATCAGTCAGTATTGGAAGCACCGCGTCCGACGTGTTCTCCCAGGAAGAAGCTAGTTCTGACGCGTAGTTCCGGAGTGTACTGGTATGTGACATAGCCCTTGCCTTTCCGGGCTCCATCAGACCTAGGTTGGAAGACAGGTAGTAGCATCCCAAATAGGCCCGCTTGGCTTCCCTATCTCTTGGGTTTTCCTTTTGTAGAGGACTCCTCACAGTCCTGGATATGCTGTCTAAGCCTAAGTCGTGTGCTATACCCAAGCACAGCTGAAGGAGCATAGTGATTGAAACAGCCTGGACGTCCATGTAGTGGTGATGCCAAGCTATGAAGACCAAGAGTCCTTGCAGAAGGTCTAGAGTCTTTTCACCTTTCATAATCCGGACCATAACCACCTTGCGGAACTCCAGGCTCAGTGCTCTCTGAAGCGAGACGGAATCATAAGAGGAAACTGTCAGCACGGCAAACATTAACATTGGCCGGCTCTGAAAGAGATCCTGGCAGCGGCATTCTCTTGATAATGATACGAAGGGGAAGAAGTCGACCATGTTACGGTACGTATCCAGCAGCATCTGCATATGCACTAAGCTGATGGATCTGATGACAGGATCCAGTCGACCAAGGTAAGACAACGTATCATTCATCGAATCCCAGAATGGCGCAGAAGTCTCAGATTGATTCGCGTGAGCCGGAAGAATGGAAGTTCTGGGGGCCGACGGCATGGACACAGGCTGAGCGGCAATTGGTGTTGGCGTCGGCATTTGCTGTGAGGAATCTAACAGCTGCGAAGGGATTGTGGCCACCGAGGGGAGACTACACTGCGTTGGAGTGGGTGCCATTGTTGCAACGATAGCAGATAACTTGTCCAACTTCTTGTCGAAGTCGCGCAGTTTGGTGGGTGTTTGGCCATCGCTGCGCGCCTTTGCTGGCCGTCTGCGCGCAACATGTTCCACACACTCGACTCTGGCCTTTTGGCATCTGGGGCACGTGTCATTCGATGTGGAGCAGAAATACAGTTGGGTAAACAAACCTCTGGCAAATGGCGGGCGTGTCAGATGGGACGCAGCGAACCTTGTGCTTTCGACAGCGCTCGCACGCAAAGGCGTTTCCTATTCTTCCTTCTTTTGCGTCCATGGCGGGGACTGAATTGGCAGTCCTAGGAGAAGGAGAGCCATCGGCCTCCGGCTGTGCGCTCATGTGGGGAAGTCCGATCATGTGGTGTGCCAAGTCCGGGGTCGAGCTTCGGTCGTGAATTGAGTGCCTCAAACGCGCGTAACGGGTGCACCAGAGATCAACGCTATGCTGACAGGGCAGTTGACAGTGCCGCAAGCCATTGCATTGGAACAAGAGCCTTTGAAATGGGTTCCGCCGAGGGTGTGTCCATGTGGCGGTGCGAAATGAATAAAGATACCTCGGGTAGTGTATGTCGGTATATTAATGGTCCGCTGGGAACCGGTTGCTTACTCCCGACAGCCTGGGGCGTGAAAGCCGCCTAATTGCCCTGGCGGAACTGGTCCGAAGCTCCATTCGGCACCAGTGCTTGATACCGTCAACGTTGCGCCTTAAATTGAATGGACGACGATGGTGATGGCCTCCAACGCTGGCGATAGCAAGCGGCGCGACGCTACTGTCATAGTGTCCTTGCGCTTCTCCGCCGGAAATTTAATCATGACTCACCTCTAGTGTCCCAAACCACGAAATGCCCTCGAGAGCTCATCGCGATTATCAAAAAGGCTTTGCCGGAAAAATAGGATGGGGGCAGAGGCCGGCGCTGCTACTTGTCGATGTTTGTAACGCCTACTGGAGCGACGCCAGTCCATTGGACACCAAATCGAACCCTGCGTCTGCGGCGGCGCCCGCGTCCATCGCAAAACTCGTCGCTGCCGCACGCCAAGGCAAGGTGCCGTTGATCTGGACGCGAGTCGAATACACGGAACCAGACATGTCGGATGCAGGACTTTTCTACAGCAAAGTACCGCTACTGAAGCTGTTCCAGACCGGCTGCGGCAATGGCCTTGAAAAATGGATTCCGGGACTAGAGCCTGCTGCTGGCGAAGTCGTTGTCTGCAAGCGTTACCCGTCCGCCTTCTTCGCGACCGACCTCGCTACACAGCTCCGGCTCTTCAACGTCGATACTGTCATAATCTGTGGCGTCAGTACAAGTGGTTGTGTGCGCGCGACTGCTCTTGACGCGATGTGTTATGGGTTTCGACCGATGGTGTGGACCGACTTGGCAACACATGAGTCGCTGTAAACGTCACTAACAATTTCACCAGGTCGTTGAAGAAGCATGTGGTGACAAGTCCCCTGCTGTCCACGATGCGAACATTGCCGATATCAACGCGAAGATGGCTGATGTCGTTTTTGAGGATGAGGCAATCGAGAAACTGGAGGCTGGATGGCAGTGAGTGTACTGCGCCGCCGAACCCGTCCCAAGGAGTGTAGCTCTGGCCGCTTTCTGCGAGTCATTCGTAGTCGCTCACGGTCTGTTCAAGCTTGCCTCCGTGATGGCGAGCGGGCACACCAAGAACGATATATGGACATAGCAAGCACCACAAGTCCAAATGGTACATATACAATTATTGGGTATACCTGCAACTCAAGCTATGTATAGACATGACCAAACGACGCACGATTTGTAGAACGTAATCCCAGTATCTGGCCTCAAGGGAGAGCCTGAAGCGTGGCACAGTGGTGGGTTCTTTCTCATTTTCCCGCCTTGCTTTGCAATTGCATACGTTGGGAATTGATTCCACTTCGACCAGCAAACGTTTCTTCACACTTTACTTTATCTCACTGTCTATCTTCAGGACGTACCACACTTTCACTTGAAATTGCTCACATCACTAGCCGACGAAGCCTCCCCACGACTGTCCACTCCTAGAGCGTATTTACGCGTTTGCTATCGAACACATCGTCACATTCCCTGGATTCACCTTTCAGGCTATGGTAGCTTGGGAGGCGACAAGAGACTATAACTAGCTCAACAATACCAATAGCTTCTCAAACCTGCAGAGAAGATCTCTCAAACGCTACCACGAAAGCGATCTCTAGCATGTCTCAAGAAAAAGCAATCTACCCGATATTGCATCATACTCCCGATCCTGGTGCAGAATCGATACCCAACTGTCTGTGGGAATGCTGCAGGTGCAGAAGAAGATGAGAGACAGAAGAGCTCGGCAACATTTGCATCGATTGCAGTAATAAGTACTGTATTGATTGCTGCCAACTTGCCGATTAGTTGATGTACAATCGTGTACTGTCTCAATGTCAAGGAGCATGGTAGTAGAAGGTGCAAGGTGCGTCAATATGCATTGTCTGGCTAGAACGCAGCAGCATGGCAGAAGAGTATGAACAGCAACACATTCAATGGATCAGACAAGGTGTGCTAGATGTGTTCGTTGGCGGGCGTTTATGTGCTATGGGTAAGTGTGATATGTGGGAAACCCCACTAGTACACATTCCCTCCCAGTTCTCCAAACTTCCAAAGGTAACATGCTCATGTTTCATTAGTCCCCCCTTTCCCAGCCGCGTTCTCTCACAATACGGTACCTCCGAGACCCCTCCGCTTCGAGGGATAGCATGCCTTTGTTGGATTGCATATCCGCTATGCACTGCTACAGTCTCCGAATAATCTAACCATGGCCTATACGGGCCGCTGGAATAGTGCTTCTCATCACTGAGTACCTAACGCCCATGGCAGATTAAAGCCTCCTTGAGAATTCGCCCCGTTAGATTTCTTCGGTCTCCACATGGCAAAGATTGGCGCAGGTGTCATCTCATGCGCGCACTTCCTCCATTCATCACTTGCCTCCGAGTCTTCGTTGTCAAAAGCAACCTTCAACAGAGACTGGAAACCGAATTTGTCGTAAAGCGGCTTGCCCATGCTAGATGCTTCCATCCAACATTCGAGGTCAAGCCCGTCAGCGCGTGTGATGCCAACATGCATGAGAAGAGAGCCAACGCCACGATTTCTATGAGCGGGATCCACCGCCATCCAATTGAGTGCTGATCATAGGTCAGCGGCAGGACGAAGATAATTCCTTTGATTCGTACAATCATATTTTTTAACCCAAAGATAGCGCGTTTGGAGAAAAGAAGAGGTGCTCCACTTACCACAATGGGGCCGCGTCATCCAATTCGCGCGCGGCCTGTACACCTGATTGAGAATTGACTCACAGAACCTCCGATGTTCGCCTTCGGGCCACCAAGGCGCGGTCAACTTTGGTATGCCTGCGACAAATGGGTTGGATGTCGAAATTACCCATTGCGAACAACCAACAGTCTTTTTGGTGACTGTATCGAAAGCGTAGAACCAATGGCTGGCGTTGTCGGCTTGGTGCTGTGTCCAGATGCGTTGTTTCGATTCAGCGATGGCAGCTTCGCGATGAGCCGTTGTGTAGCCAAGAACCGGAAAGAAGAGTTGCATAAACGGCTCGTAAGGTGTGTAGTTTGCAGCCCAAATAACCTTTATTATCTCATCCAGCTCTTCTTTTGTCTTTGCTTCTCGAATCACGTATCGTTGTCCCATTGCTGCTGACCGGTGTTCTGGTCAAGCGGCTCAAGCCATGGCGACATCGGACAGGTAAAGTAGTTTGCAACTACGCTACCTCGCCGCCGCTACGCATTGACAGCGCAATCGGAGATATAGCTTGACCCAAGTATTGGACATCGTAGATTGCCGTGTTAGGGTGAAGTATCCCAACAAGGAAGGTACCGTTGACACATTTAGCGTCTTGGCGAGGCTGGCAAGTAACAGCCTTGCGCCCCAGCACACCTCCCCAGATAGCCCCTCACCTTTCACACATATTCCAGCCACTCGGTAACACTTGTATCGCTATCGCCATCTCCATCTGCTTGCGACCTTCCTCGATTGTACGGGGCGGGAAGACGGCTTTCTGGGCGATGTAACGATGAACCGAGGCTGGTCGCGTCGCTATTCATTCATGGTCCGAGCTCGGAGCGTTGTGGTTGGGGGACGTTCTCGTCGGGACATACTTGCGACATATGTTTGTGCAACTGCAGACGAGTTTTGGTTACACGCAATGGACGCCCCCCGTCTATGGAGGCGCGGAGGCTGGCTTCCTACCTTCACTTCACAAAGCGCATCGAAGAATGGAGCGGCCTCCAGCATATCAGCCAGTATGCAGCGATGAACAGGAAGAGATCTCAGCTGATTTGGAAGACAAGGGGGGCGTGTCGTGGGACTCTAAGAGTACTGAAATCATCCCGACTAACACACGAAGCTTCGTCGTGTACATGTCTCTTCTGCTGCTTTCTCTTTCAGCGAATATCTTACTCGTGATGGAAAATGCAAAGCTCCGTATCGCGCACATTCCAGCCAAGAGTAACTATAGTAAGCAAGGAGCCATCTAAGTCTCATTCTAGCTTACACATTTCGAAGGTGGACTAGCCTACGACACAACTGTGCCATATCACGCGATGACGGAGTACTGGCATCCGAACGCCAGTGATAGTGATATGGAGGCAGCATGGGACGCTATAAACACCAACGCTATGGCAATCACGCTCGAAGACGGATTCGCAAAACGTATGAGTCTACCTCCCTCTACTCGATTCCCATGGGATACTGAGCGAAGCATCTACTATATCAAAGGGATCCATGATCTGCATTGTCTCGTACGTATCCACAAGCTAAGCTGTACTTTAAATCGCTAACTCTGCCAGAAACTTGTCCGCAAAGCCATCGTCTCAAAGCACAAGGGTGACCCCCGGCCCTTCAATCTTCTTCACATCTACCACTGTCTCGATGGCCTTCGCCAGGATATCATGTGCACTGCGGACGATACACCAATGCCAGCTCCAGTTGCGCACCAAGGGGGTGATGGCCAGCTTCGACGGTGCCGTGACTGGGATAAGCTGATCTCATGGGCCACGCGTCCTGACCAACATGCTTGTTACGAATTCGACGATTACCGCGAAGCGACAAACACCCTGGAGAACTTCGCCTTCTGTCCACCGGAATCGCCATACCGGAAGTTTCAGGAGGCTTATTTCCAGTATCACGGACACAAAGACGCGTATGAACAGAGTGTCGACAGAGAAGAAATTGTAGTGTTCTAAAGCTGTGACTGGAACATAACTAAGAGAACAATGGCATGAGGACGGATTCGATTTTTTGCGCCAATTGAAATACGATTGTACCTTTCTTTGACTTTGACCGTAGTAAGAAAGACCGGTTGCTGTCAAAGTTCCGATAGATATGCGACCTGATATCGTTGGAGGCTACACCACATAATCAGCCTCAGCCCTGAGCTGCCGAACGTCATGGATCGGAAGTTTGTGTACTCTTAAAAATTCGTGGCCACGGGAAGTATCTACTCCGCTCTGTATATCACTGGACGGTCAATGTTATGGTCGCAGATCATCGACGAGTCTCTTGAACTGACTACAAGGCGAGAATGCAAGAAGCGCAGTGCAACGCTGATACGGAACCGGACGATTGTTGAAAGTGCCCGAGCTACCTCAAAGGCGTGCGTGTCTGAAACGTCGGGATGTCTTGATCACATACGAGAAGCAATGGTTCCGAAGATGCTACACTGGGTTCAAAGGAGTTCATACATATATTCCGTAGCGAAGGGCTGGAACCACACCATCTCATACACCACTTTCGCATTTGTAACCTTTTCCCTGAAGTAAGTAGGAATGCTCAAAAGGGCATGAACCTTCTAACGATGAGCAGCACCAAAAAGAGGAACTAAACATATTGTCTGCGATCCACCCACCATGCACATCACTACCGGTTTAATTCCGCTACTTGCCTCTGCGGTGGGCATCACTGCAGCTCCAACAACCCTGCATTCTGTCGCACGAGCCGTACCAGATATCAATGAAGTCGCCCGCAACCCGGCACCTATCGATGATAGAGTCAATTGGGATGATCACGGCAAACCGACACTTGGCGATATCAGTCACCTCAGTCAGGATGATACCAAGAAGCTTAAAGAACTCATAAAACATCTCCTTGGCGGCAGAGCGGTTGCTGATGCTGACAGCATCATCGTGGAGAGAAGCGTCCCTGATTTCCATCACCCAGCGAAGAACCCTGTGGAGATCCGTCCGTAAGCGTCTTGAGTTGAAGTACGAGCTCATGCTTTGTGGGATTCCGATCCAAGTAACATGTCAAGTTCCCAGGTTTGACTAAACTCGACGCATCTCACATTTGTTACGTACATGGAAGAGATGGAATTCTTCAGTCTCAAGCATGAGTCTCGAAGAGCGATGTAGCAGCATAACAGAATGCGAACATCCGTCACTTCACCGCTGCTTACGTGGGTTTTATCATTCAGCCTTGACCTTTGAACATCCGCCTTGGCGGCTGCCACAAACTTCTTTGTGCAACAATCTGTGAACAGCCATATCTGACAGATAGCGCCACCGTTGCGGCGGCCACCCGAATGCGACTTCGCCTATTGATGAGACACCACACAAGGTTGTGCTGTCAAATGTTCCACTGCCGGATTGCGCTACCACTTTTCAATCACGCGGTTACAAACAGACGTGGTACTGCGCCGAGTCCGATGTGTCGCAAGGTTCCACTAAGGTTAGCAGACCTTGGAGCAGGCTAGCAAGCGATTGCAGATTGACGAGCCTCCTACAAGCTATCAAGCTAATATACCGGCTTCTCTGATGCAGCTTACTACTCTAGCGCCCGACGTGTACCTTGAACTAACTTGCCAGCGTCTGTTAGCCTCACCAGACCTAGGCCGTGTAACAAAACGCCTGCTTTCACAAGGAGGCAGGTTCAGCCGAGTATACACAGATATCTAGTCGTCATTGCGTACTGGTCGCTTTATTTTGTTACACCTGTACAACGCTGTCCGACCGCTTGTCAGCCTAGTAAATCTTTGCCCAGCCAGCTCCCAATCTAATTGACCTCTCTCGTTTGCAAGTATGTGTCGCCTTCAAGGTGAAGAGCGGATAACGACAGTGTGTGCTGTACTGATTTTGAGTGGACCCCAAACGTAGGCTACCTGGCGGTATCTGACACTATCCCTCTATCAGATGGATAGGCGCATTGGGAACCTTGTTATCCATACGTACCAGCCGTTTGATTGCATGAGCACCAGTACTGACTGGCGCCCTTGCCCACCGCACATTCTGGTGTGTGTGTCGAGACTGTTTGTTCTTGCTGGCTGTCACTACCCTAAAATTTTCTTTTGGCGATTTGCGCTGCTCTTTTTGGTGCCCGATCTAATTACAACAAATACGATGCGATGATGGCGCCATCTCTCTTTGTTTCTTTTCATCACCCTGTCCCGCGCCAACCCGGAAGCAGCGCGGATGTCGGTCCGTTCGTCAATGTGGTTACTTGGATTCTCTTGATCACTTCCGCTTTGGCGGTCTTGACTAGGCTTATCACGAAGCGTGCACTCAGGAGGAGCCTTGATTTTGACGATGCGTTCGTTCTGCTTGCTTTGGTACGTCATCATGGGTGCAATTGCTCAAGTCTATGGATGTTTTCTTGCTAATTGATCTTGAGTAGCTTGCGAGTATAGGCTCTGGTGCATCGGTCAGCGTGCAGATCGACAGTGGCCTTGGACGAGATATTCATGTGTTGACTGAGCGTCAGATTGTGGTGTATCAGCAAGTAAGCATCTGATTCAGTCTTGTTGAGGCGACGTGTTCATTGATCGCGTTGCAGGCGGAATATGCGAACAAGCTGCTTTACATCGCAACATTATGTTTCGCGAAACTATCCATCATCTCGCTACTGATGATTCTGACTGAGTCGAAACTGCATCGGAATCTAGGCTTGGGTTTGACTGGATTCATCGCATTGTGGAGCGCGCTTTCCGAGGTCGTGTCGGCTTTCCAATGTGGCGCTATAGAGCCGTGGCGCTTTCTTGTTAGGGGAGGAGATTGCTTTGGTCTGGTATGTCGCAAAAGTAAGCTGGGATATCTGAGGCTGTTACTGACAATGTATCCAGGCTGCCTTCTGGCAGACGGTGGGTGTCGTCAACATAGTGACAGATTTGGCCTTAATACTGTTCCCAGTACACGTCATCATGACGCTACAGATGAGCACGAGTAAGAAGATCACTATCCTAACATTCTTTGGTGCGCGGTCACTGTAAGACGCAAAACATTCTGCCATAATCTTCCCCTCCTGACATGTCGCAGAGATATCGTAGCCTCCGCAGTCCAGATGGCCTACCTTCGTGGATTCACATCACCCAACCCGACTAAGGATCTTTGGAAATGGACACTTTTCACACAGATCATCGAGTGCATCACCATTCTCACATCATGTGTGCCTTACCTTCGTCCGCTCCTAGAATCTGTACCATCGGGCCTCTATGGGAGTGACGAGCTCCGACGTCGGGGTACATCCTCAGAACATGGCTATTCGCACAGTAAAAGCTTCTCGTATCAACTCTCAAGCACTACTTCAAAGGTGGGTGCTGGAATAAGACATAGTCATAAGAGTTACACGGAAAGCAACAGAATCAGACGATTCTTACCAATGCTTTCACAAGAGAAGACGACAAACGCCAATTCTGCATCCGGTGTTCCTGGAGGTCCTCGTCGTGCTGATGGGGAGATGGACGTTGAAATAACTGCTGTACATCACAAGCATGACCAGAAGCGGTGGGATGACAAAAGGTGGGAGACAGCCAGTACTGCAAGCCATTCCAAGATCTTAAAGACTACGGTTGTTAGCGCGCAATGGGAGGAAGCGGAGGTGAAGAGTTATGATGCTTCCAGCGATGAAATCGTGATCATGCATTGAATCGGATTCGCTAGTTAACCTTTTGCGATATCACCTTCGCTGAGTAATGATACCTTGCGATAACCAAATGAGCTATATTGTTTTATGATCTCCGACGTACAGTTCCCCAAAAGAATGTCTTTGGGGACTTCTCTCGATCAAAAGCACAATCGCACCACTAAACGTTGTCTCATCATGCTTGGAAAATTGTCCACTGAGGTGGTATCACAGTCACGCAAGCGATAGGGACCTTTCACTGTGCCATGACCCGTGAGCCAGGCCCATCTTTGAGTCATTCAGCGTTCTGGGGTGATACCGACCGCCTTAGCTCTCAAGAGACTCTAGTCAAGTGCTTGCCAGTCGTATCCGATTACACTCATACGTCGCATAAGCACGAGAGATCAGCGATAGCAATTGACCAGGTTAACGCCCGATCTCGGATCTCTACTCATACTTGAGTCCGCGCTTGTTCCAGTCGCCAAGAGGTCTTGTGCTTCCTCGGGCTTTCGTACTCCGTAGTATGCCGCAAAAGGAGTGTTTCACGCGTGCTGCACCAAGATGTAATGTGGCATGCCAGTAGCTGCACATGCTGGCATCCAAGAGTAGATAGAATCATGCAACAAGCATGGCATACACCTACGCAGGCTTCCGATAGCAGTGCCGCGTGTTGACAGACATGCTAGCCAAATCTCAGCTTGCACATCCTCTGGTGCAAAGCGGCGCATCCCTTCCCAGGTAGCTCGCGTGTCGCTTGAGCCGTCGGGTAAGATATCGAAATACGTCATGATAGCTGTTGAAACCACGCGGATGTATTGAGAGGCGGATTTCCACGTGGGTCAACGATGACTAACCAGCTTCGTGGAACATAAGTGATCCACTCTCCTTTCATCCTCCAACAACTGCAACCCTCTTTGGCCATTTCCGTACCACAACAGATCTGCAGGAAGGCCTCGACTTTCGATCTTTACGGCATGACAGCGGTTGTTGTTGCCACTTGCTACCTGCTTAATCCTTGGTCCACATATAACTGGATAGCTATGGCAGCCCGTCGTCGCACGTTGAGAGACAAGTGCTGACGATGCCAGGTGCCTCTTATTGACTCCATTTTGTCTTGCAATCGAATGCTCTATCAACCCTCTTGCTAGTTGCAGAAACTGGAGACGCCGGTTTCCTAGGCATATGCACAGTATGATGACCGGGTGCAGATATGCATTCACCATTCAAGCATAGCCCATGCTGCTCGAAAAATACGCGAAGACGACTGGGAAAAACTTCGTTTGCCTCTACCACCTGAAAGACATATGAATGAGGGATCCACAACTATGCATGCCACCGCTTTTTGCAGCTTCGGCAGCCTGATTGTGCAACTCAAGCGCCAATCAACGCCCATTTACTGTGGACCAGTCACTCAGACTACGACTGCAGTGCGATACGTGGAATTGCGGGTTGCCGCCATCACTGCAGAGAGCCTCCAACTGCCTTTGCGGTGCGAATCACTGGCTTGGTGTCTGACTTTCATACGCTCGATTGCATTGCCGAACAGCCGCCTCCCGGTCCTCGCCTCTGCCGTCTTTGCAGGTGCACATGGCTCACGTTACATTTGGAAGGGGTATATATCGAGATTGACTTGCATAAAATATGCCCTGTATCACGACACACCTCCCGGGTATCTTCTTCTCTTTCCCTTCCTGGTCTATTTGCTTGCTGGAGACTTGTTACTGCGAACTGCCTTTGTTCCTTCTTGTTGCTCAACACGTTTCGGATTAGAAAACTAGGACAAAGGTTATCATGGAGAAGCATATTGACCTGCAGACGTTCGACCATGAGATTCTGCGGCAAAGGGGTAGAGGCTCCATATCGGAAGGGAGAGGCCCTAAGTTCGATCGCGACAAGTATGAGCTGGCGAGGGTGGGAAAGGAGCAAGTGCTGAAGGTATGAACTGCTCCAGGAATACGTACCTTCCGGATCTGATAACATCAGCGCCGCTTCGGACTGGTGTCTATGACTGGACTCTCATGCGGATTGATGTGTACTTGGGAGACCTTGCTTGTGTAAGTTTGCGTGACTGTCACGAGAACTCTTGCTGATATCACAGCAGCATCTTCTCTATAGGCTTCGCGAAGTAAGTGCTCAATGTTTTTATATTTCCAACAGCGACTGACGACGTCACAGTGGCGGCCCTGCTGGTCTCATCTACGGTTTCATACTTATATGGCTGGGTAACTTCTCCGTCTTCGTCTGTATCGGCGAGCTTGCCAGCGCAGTTCCAACTGCTGGTGGACAATACCATTGGGTTTCCTTGTTAGCGCCACGGTCGAACAAGAAGTTCTTCAGCTATCTGACTGGTATGTGCGGTATTCGAGACAGTATTAGTCTGTTCTGATTCTTCTTAGGCTGGCTCACTGTCGTTGGTTGGATAGCAGCTCTTACTTCCGTGTGTTACTTCGTTGCCGACCTGATTCTCCAACTGGTCAGTCTGAATGATCTTGACAGAACCTATACTCGAGAAGGATGGCACGGCACTCTTCTCCTTTGGGCCATACTACTGTTATGTGTCTTCATCAATGTCTTCATAAGCGGAGCGCTTCCTACCATCGAAGTCGTTGTATTGATCGTCCACGTTCTTGGCTTCTTTGGCATTCTGGTGCCATTGGTATATCTGACTCCCATCCACAACTCTGCTAAGCAGATTTTCACGACATTTCACAACGAAGGTGCTTGGAACACACAAACTCTAGCCTTCTTTGTCGGGCTTCAAGGTAATGCTTTGGCATTTGTTGGAACGGATTCAGTTGTTCACGTAAGCCAAATAACCTCCAATGTCACATCTCACTAACGATCATAGATGTCTGAAGAGGTCAAGAACGCCAGTACCGACGTCCCTCGCTCGATGCTTCTCAGTCTTGTCATAAACGGTACATTAGCACTAGGCATGCTTTTCGCTGTTCTCTTCAGCGCACACGATATCCCAGCGTTGCTTGGCGATCAAAATGCCGCGACCGCGCCCTTCCTCCGCATCTTCAAAGACGCTGTCGGATCCGAGGCTGGTGCTACTGTCATGGTTGCCATAATCGTTCTTCTCGAATTTTGTAGCGCAATGGGATGTTTAGCCGCTGCATCTCGTATGACTTGGTCTTTTGCTCGAGACCGTGGTCTTCCTTTCTCGCGTGCTCTCAGTGTGGTGAGCGTCTGCACCGACAGGCTTTCAAAGAGTGTGTAATTAACCAATAATAGATTGACAAGCGCAGCACAATTCCCATAGTCTCCATCCTAGTCGTCACGGTATCAGCCGCCCTCCTCGCTCTGATCAATATCGGCAATAGCGCTGCTTTTAACGGGACAATATCCCTCGTCTTGGAAGGTTTCTACCTCTCCTACCTTCTCGCAATCGGTCTTCTCCTCTGGCGCCGGCTCCGTGGGGACCTAGAGAATCCTGAGTCTTCGCTCACCATTTTCAATGAAACTCAAATCGACGAAGCTTACGATGGCAGCCTGACCTGGGGTCCTTGGCGTCTAGCAGGGGCGTGGGGTGTGGCCAACAACGTCGTCGCCATTTGCTATCTCACCTTGATCATCTTCTTCAGTTTCTGGCCAAGCGAGGTCAGTCCCGATCTTGTGCATATGAATTGGGCAGGTGTCGTGACCGGGTCGGTCGCCTTGTTCAGTGTGACGTACTATCTTCTCTTCGCAAAGACGTCGTACATTGGACCAATTGTGGAAGTGAGTCCACATGCCTTGTAATCGGAGTTGGACCGATGGCTACCAGTCTCTCCGGGTCTGTTTCATCTACGCGATGAGGGATGTTTAGAGAAAAGCTCTTTTCCTGACTGATGGTTGGTATTTCTGTCATGTATGTTGCGTGAATCAACCAAGTGTATAAGGTTGGCACGTTGGCTTTTCGAAAGAAAAAAGGCAGTATAGACTGAGCAGACTATTCGTTCATTATGGTTCACTGAGATCACGAGTCTACAGACCACTGAACCAGGCATATATCATAGACATGCTTTGTAGTCGTAATAATTCATTATCATACATAACTCATAACCTGCCCATGAATCCTAAACATGATGACATTTGCCTGTATATCCGCGCCTTGAAGCAAAAATGATACTCATGAACAATAGAGATTGAGAATAGAAGAAAAGTCCCAAATAGCCAGCCGTAACTCGTTAAGAGACGTAAGAAAGAAGCTTTCTTGTGATAGCCCAGTACCACCCTTTGCCGCGTTCTAGTTGTAGCGATCCAGAGATACGGACGCTTATTTTGGTTCAACAATCTGAATCGACCGATCAAGACAGAGCTCCCATAGCCAGCGCCACGATCTTGGGGTTTGGGCGATCTTTCCGTACTAGTACTGTAACCACCGAATATCAACGAGTCGTTCTAATGGGCCGAGCGAACAAGGGCTAACCTACCCTTTCGATCTCTGTCAACGCGCATAACCTCCTTGCGGGGGGTACGCTCGACGAATTCATACTCGCGGTCGCCTTCGCGCTCGTACTTGAGCATGCGACGTTCCTCCTCCAGGAAACGGATCTCGTCGCGGATTTCGCGCTCAGAACGGCGATCGTCTCGGCGGACGAGCTGGCGGCCTTCTGGGAGGAAAGAAGTCGCTGGTCCGTGGATGGCGGCTGAGCGGTCGATTTCGACGTAGCGCTCATGTTCGTGGATGGATGGGGAAGGTGCACGCTCTGATGGCGCGTAGACAGTTGGCGCGTGGTGAGATGGTGGAGGTTGGGCATAAACAACCTGAGGTGGAGGTGGCTGAGCGTATACCACTTGTGGAGGTGGGGGTGGTGCGTGTACTACAGATGGCGGTGGAGGAGGGTAGTATTCTTCAGGGGGTGGAGGCGGAGGGGCGACTGAAGCTGGTGGAGCTACCGAAGCTGGCGGCGGTGGGGCTTCATCGGCCTTCTCCTCATATACGTAGGTGATTTTCTCTGCAGATGGTTAGAAAAGATCGTCCAGAGATGATGGGATGCGTACCCTCTTTGTAGCTTTCGCTGATCTTGATCACCTCATCGATATGCTCCTTTTCGAGTGCTCGGGTAACAATGATGAAGTCGTCCTAATATGATCAGTGACATTCTAGTAGTGTGAATGAGTGGCATACCTCTTCTTCGAATGGGTAGCCCAAGTCGATAACAGCTTGCTTCTTGACCAAGCGCTTGGGAAGCCTCGTCTTGCCCTTCTTGCCCCAGGTCGCACGGGAAGGCTGGATTTCTTCAAAGCTGGAGATGGAAGAGCTGCGTGTCGATTTGGCTGCTACACTCTTGCTCCTCCGGACCCTGCTCTTCTCACGGTGAACTTCGACCTCGCGGTAGTCTTCTCGCTCCCGGCCTCTTGCGCTGCGGTCGTCGTATCGAATTTCCTCAAAGTCATCTTCCTCGTGGAAACGACGAGGGGGTGATCGTCGACGCTCGCGAATTGGAAGCGGGATGGGAACATTGGCTGGTGGTCGGTACTCGTGGTCTTCGTACCTCTCGTATCTCTCTACATCGCCGTACCGTGGCATGGGCTTACGGTCAAAAGTGTCGAGAGATGACTGTCGTCGGATATACTGCGGCCGTGCCGGGCGAGGCGGACGTGGGAGCGGCCCCCGACGCTCGTTGATGTCAATATCGATGTTGATGTCTTTGTCGATGACGGACCTGCGGCGGTACGGAGCAAGCGCCTGGTTGGCAACTTCGGACGGGGTAGGCTCATGGAACAACTCGGAGGGGGCGCGGCGACGGGGGCGGTCGAAGCGCTCATCTTCGTGGAAACGTTCTCTCTCCATGACGGCAGGGCCTCTGCGTGCGCGGTCTTCATGGAAGTCAATATCGCGATGGCCGCCGGGAAAGCGATCATGCTCTTGGAAGCGGTAATGGTCGTACTCATCGCGACCACGGGCACTGCCGCTAGCGACGCTTCCACCGCCGCCGCCGCCTCCTCCTCTTCTCATGCGCTCAAACTTTTCGCGGTCCCATCGCTCACCGCCGCCACGGGGCGGCTCTTCGAAACGGTCGAGGTTGCCCGTTGAGGAGCGGTACACGGACATGGCTGAGGGGTCGAGTGCGGCTTGTCAGTGGTTGTGTGATGATATATGAGGTATGGTGCGGGGCTGCCGGTTATGTGTCGGAAGATGTCACAAGGGAACAAGGCATGTACTAGGAGCGCCAGCAACAGTAATGCGACAGACTGACGGTGGCGCAACAAGCGGATCAACGAGAATATAAGTGTCTTGGATCTAAGTCTCGCCGGAGATTTGGTGGTGTGTGGGTGCGACCAACTTGATATGCAGGATTCGCGACGGGCTTCGTCATCGGCGCTCGCGCATGCTGCACTCCCTGCATCTGGCCTGGGCGCTAACTTCTGCCATGACTGGAGCGACGCACCCCTGATATGCCTTGGTTTCTCATTTGCCGCGGAGTTCCCCATGGTTCAGTTTCATGTGAATCCATGTGGATTCGGGCTCATGTTGGGCATGTCCCACTGTCATGTGAGGTCTCTACATCTGTTCAGTATCGCCGGCAGAGACAAAATACTTGGTTTTGTCACCCAACGTCGTTTGGGTACACCAGGCTATCCTTACCGTCAGTGTCTGTCACTGACCGCATTCGAGGGGATGCATGTCCGCAAAACGAAGCCTTGGTTACCGATGACGTCAGTCCCGGAGCCTGGAAACGGATCGCGGCGCAGCTATCCGCTTAGGTGCTGCCTTAGCCACGATGTAACTGTGCTACAATGCTCCAGCCCGTGTGTCTGAACGCATGGACAACCAACAGACATGGATGGAATTTTCCATGGAACTCTGCCATGTTGGGCTGTCAAAGCTGCCACGTTCCGAGGCCACGAGCGAGTGGTAACGATACCCCGCAAAGCGACATGTCCACCGAATTGATGGATCTGCTCAACCAGGCAAAAGCAATTTTCAAGGCATCATTTCTGGTGTCGTAATTTGGCCGTATCTTTCGTTACCTCTTTTGGAGAGGAGTCGGTAGTCTACACAGAATTTGTACACTTGTTCTACAATCATCCAGCCCCCACCCAGCGCATCATGTCGTCTATTTGGCCCCAACAGCTTCTTGTATTTTCTTTGTGATATACTCCAAGTCAAACGGTCGTCCTTTGACGCCTGCCATGACTTTGCCCATGACGGCGCCAACATTCCTCTTGCCCTGCTCCAATCCTTCGACTGCGCTATTCACCAACGCGTCAATCTCGCTCTCCTCTACTGTTGGAATTTCTTTTGCATATCCGTTCAAGACATCTAGCTGCGCCTGCTCCTTCTCTACCAGATCCTCCCTCTTCGCATTCCGGAACTCTTCAATCGAGGCCGAAGAGGACTTGATTTGCTTCTGGATGAGGGAATAGAGGGCACCATCAGTAGTGATTGGCTTGGCGGTCTTTGAGGCGTTTATAATTTCGGCTTGCAGGGCACGGATTGTGTTTAGAGCAGGCTTGTTCTTTGCACGCATGGCCGTCTTGAGGTCGGACTGCAAGCGGGGGAGAACAATATTTTCAGGCGTAGAAGTGGATGAGTAGCGGAGACACATGGATCGGGGAGCCGCAAGGAGCTGCCTTGGGAGCATTGTGGTGCGAAATAATGACATGGTGAATGTTGCAGCTGGAAGGAGCAACCACAGACAGCGTATGCGACGAGTTAGAATACGAAATCGATCCGAGGCGGAGAGATTGAGTTGGGGCGCGTGAAACGTCGACAGTCAAACACTCCAAGCACAAAAGTTTGGACTACCCTAACGCGCTCTGACGCGAATAGCTAGCATCCCTGCGCGCCAAGCATCTCTTTTGTTGTGGACCGCCGTCACTTTTGCACCTTGTGCCTGAGCCTCAGCGTCGCAATTGCGCCAGAGCACTTTTTTTGATCTCCTTCTCTGCGCGCCTTTCTTACCTCGACACCACCAAAGCCTCCGCGCGCAGCTCATGTACACGTCATCTCCCCGGCGCGTTCCCCCAACCTCCATCTGAAGCTCGCTGTCACCCGGGCTACGACCAGCGCAACACGTCAACCCCATACGCAATCCATCATGGCCTTCCAGATGGCGCCTGCGACTCCGCAACGCCCCACGCCCGGGGCGTTCGTCAACACTCCTGCGCCCAACCGACCTGGCTTCGCTCGAACAGGTTCCATGTCGCAACCACCACCGCAGCAACAGCAAGCGCTGCCTGCACCGCCAACAGAGAGCCCGATCGATCGCGCATCGCGGACTATCAACAGCATGCTGGATCGAGATAACCGGTTTCCCGCTCTAGAGGCGTACATCGGACGTGAGTAGTCACGTAACAGTCGTACAAGCTTGCTGAAGTGCTAACAAAGCCGCACAGAGGGCATCTCGGGCGAGTATGAACTGCCCAACAGCCCGGCGTGGGCGCCGTTCCAGAAACTGCGCTCCTACAAACTTCCAGAGGCCGTCTTTGAGCAGGTAGACCACACGCAGATGTCGACGAGCATGGGCCTGTTCGCTGAGATCAACCACGCCTGGGTTGTCGTGGACAACCAGGTCTACCTCTGGGACTACACACATCCAAACCCTGAACTCGTTGGATTTGAAGAGCAACCCAGCAACATCACATGTGTCAAGCTCGTCAAGCCGCGGCCTGGCGTCTTTGTTGGCACTATCGAATACCTACTCGTCGTCGCGACCGTTTCAGACATCTTCCTTATCGCTGTCGAATGCCAGCGAGGTCCCGAAGGCGTTCACGGCATCACAATGTACCGGACTGGACTATCGACTTCGGTCAGGAAGATCAATGTGACTGCAATCGCCGGCTCGACAACAACCGGGCGCATCTTCTTTGGCGATGGTCAGACCGAGGACGTATACGAGCTGAACTACCAGCAGGAAGACAAATGGTTTTCCAGCAAGTGCAGCAAGACAAACCACGTCACAACCTCCATTGGCCTCCCAGCACTGCCCTTTTACGGACCAACGCGACAAGCCGGCATTCAGCAGATGGTAATCGACGACACCCGCAACGTCCTGTACACACTTTCTACCAACGGTACTATCAAGGTCTACTACATGCGCGCGCCAAACGTTCTCGAGAGCTCTCTCACCCGGACACGAACACAAATCGAGACAATGTGTGGGCACATTGTACGGCCGACAGGCGTCCTGGACAAGATGCAGATCGTCCACTTGAGCCCCATCTCGAGTACCGAAGCAGACAATCTGTCTTTGATGGCCACAACATCGTCCGGATGTAGGCTGTATTTGAGCACGACATCTGGTGGACAATGGAGTGCCAACAGCACCAGCGCACCAAACAGTATGCAACTACGACACATTCGATTTCCTCCCAACGACGGTCAGCCTTCGCAGCAGAGCACTTCAACTCAGGTGCAGCCATACCAGGGAGGCACCGCGGTCGGATTTGAGTCGAGATATCTTAGAGAGACCACTCTTGCAACGCGGTACGCGCCCGGTGCATTCTTCTCTTTTGTCCTACGATCGCCAAACGACCAAAACCATCATATGTTTGTTTCCGCCCCTCACTCTGGGCTACTGGGTCAGCGAGAAAGCTCGGAACCTCCACGATACACCGAGACTGGCTTGTATACAGAACTCATAGGCAGAGTACAGGACATTGGTTTGGTGTCAGAACCCTTTTCGGCAAGGAATGAACCTCTTGGCTTCGGCAATGAGCTTTCGACCCAATTCGACAAACCCCTGTGCGAATATGCAATCATCACATCGCACGGCATCGAGACGGTCCGACGGAGAAGACTTGTCGACATATTTGCTTCCATTGTGAAGAACGGAGGCCAGGAGGGTGCTGAAGGCGACATCCGCAAGCTCGCGAAGCAGTACGGTTTGGCCGAGACTTCCGCTACGGCTTTGGCTGTCGCGTGCGGTCAAGGCTCAGACGTCGGACCCGATTCGCGCATCGCGAAGGTTACTGATCCCGAGGTCATTGATTTTGCCCGTAGAGTCTTTATTGAATTTGGTGGGAAAGCACATCTGACAGAGAGCGCGACAGTAGAAGGTTTGAGTGTAGAGAATGTCCGCGCCTCACCGAGACACGATGGTATTGCCATGTATGTGTCGCGCATTGTCCGGTCCATCTGGAATACCCCTATCATCGCGGAGACTGCTACACCGACCGGACCCGCCCTCACATCGACACATCCAATCGCCAAGTTGCAAGAAGTCCAGCGTTCTTTGGCTCAACTTCAAGAGTTCCTCGAATCGAACAGGTCTTTTATTGAAGGCTTGGCTGGTCCAGAGGCACTCGGACGTGCAACATCGCGACAAGAAGAAGTAGAGCTCCAAGGCGAGAACAGGGCGCTCAACAGTTTGTTGCAGATGATTAACAACATTGTTGAGGGAATATCCTTTGTCCTGGTACTCTTTGAAGAGCGCTTAGAAGATATTCTGGTATTGCTGCCAGATCCTCAACTACAAGGAAGAGTACGCCAACTCACCTTCCACGGTCTTTTCTCTGTCAAAGAAGGTAAAGAGATCGCAAGAGAGCTTGTCAAGGCTATTGTAAACCGCAACATCACCAAGGGTTCCAACGTTGAATCAGTTGCCGAAGCTCTGCGGAGGAAGTGCGGCAGCTTCTGCAGCTCAGACGATGTTGTCATCTTCAAGGCGCAAGAGAGTCTGAAGAAGGCCGCCGATTCTGGCGCGAATGCCGAACGTGGACGCATCTTGCTCAATGACAGTCTGAGACTGTTCGAGCAGGTGGCGAAGAGTCTGAGCTACGAGAACCTGGCTGCTACAGTCAATCAGTACATTCAACTCGAGTTCTATGCTGGTAAGCTCAATTGACTATCCGTTCTTCGACAGTACTAACGTGCCACTTAGGTGCTATTAGACTTGCCCTGAAGGTGGCTCAGGAATGGGATCGAGGTAACAAAGCGTTGTCTTGGATTCGAGACAAGAGTGATAGCAATGTCGACTCGAATGACGCGCGCCGAGAATACTTCGACAAGCGCGCCTCTTGCTACACGTTGATCTGCAAGGTTGTCGAAGCTGTGGATCAAGCGTACAACACGCAGGGTCCCGTGCCCGATGGTGTCATTTCACAGGTCACTCGTCGCAAGCACGAAGCTTACGAGCAGATCAACAACTCAGACGACGAGGTTTTCCAAAACTACTTGTACGATTGGTACATGCAGAACGGCTGGGCCGAGCGATTGCTGGAGATCAATTCTCCTTTTGTAGTCGACTACTTGCGGCAAAGCTCTGAGACAAACCTGGCACACGCGGATTTGTTGTGGCGTTACTACGCTCACTACAACGACTACCTCAGCGCTGCTGAGACACAATACCAGCTCGCCAAGAGCACCCTACCCCTGACACTGGAGAAGAGGATAGAGTATCTGTCGCGCGCAAAGGCCAATGCCTCTACACGGATGAATGGCTTCGCGGAGAACGGGGTACGCAACAGGCAGTCAAGACAGGAGCTCCTAAGAAACATCACCGATCACTTGGACATTGCGAATATTCAAGACGACGTCTTACAAAGAATCAAGGGCGATGAGCGACTTGCTGGGAAGCGAAGAGAAGATGTCATTGATCACCTCAACGGCCAGATCCACCCTCTTGACGAAGTAAGTTTCTTATGATACATCACTAGTGATGACTTTACTAATACTTCTCTAGCTTTACCACGACTATGCCGATCAAGCGGCATACTACGACATATGCCTACTGATCTACCACGCTGCCGACTACCGCAGCGTACCCGATATCCGCTCGACGTGGACTAATCTTATTGACCAAACTCATCGGAATGCTCTGGCTGATCGTCAAGGAGCTCCTTGGGAGATCGTCGCACTGAAGGTCGAGGACCTCGGTCACCGTACCAACCTTAACGACAACGTTTTCCCAGTGAACATCGTCCTGCAGCTTCTTCTCCAATACGACCTCGAGTTCTACGTACACGATGCTAATGCGCCAAATGCGCAGAACCTTGCACTCAACTCCAACCTCACGTGGCCGATCGATGTATTCCTCAAACTTCAAGCGCCATTCGAGAACCTGGTCGCCACTCTGGAAGCACTATGGTATGCACAGGAACAGCCTTTTGCTGGTCGTAACCGCAAACTGCTTGTTAAGTGGATCATCTACCTCGTAGAGCAGTGGGGTGCAGTAAGCAGACGGACTGGTGCGTTATTTGGTGGTCCTGAGAACGCCATTGGTCTTGCGGAAGTAATGCGCATCATCTTGAGCAGCGATGTCTTGGGGCGAGACATGGATGATCAGGCTTGGATCCAGCGGGCGAGGGATCTCAGTGCCACGCTCGAGGAAGCTGCGCGCTGAGAAGCCGTGAGCTAAAGAGAAGGGGGATCAGAGTGAGAGCGTTGTGGAGATATACAGAAGCGATGATTGCGTATTTTGGGTTGTTTTCTCTTCGTTAGCATTCTTGCAGCGCGAGGCGTTGAATAGGTGGCATGAGGATGGGATTGGCGTCAAAAGCATTGAATGTATTACAACCAATCTTGTAGGACATAAGACGAAGACGGAGCATAATCAAGGCTAGCGTATTCTTGAATGAAATATTGTAATGGAAGGACATTTGACTGGATCTATAAGACGTTTTGGCAGTGCTGATCTAGCAGCGAATCTGATGTCGGACTTTAGCAAAGCCCCACAGCCAAACACCGTGCCGAACGCTTTCCACAAGCATCGTCACCTTCCGCATCCTCTCCAACACTCCGCGACCTCACATCTCGCGTCGCAAGCAACAAACACACACCCGTCCTACCTCCTTGCGCCATGTAACAACCGCACGGACTATCATTCTCTGCGATGCCAATATGCATATCCTGTCGCACCCCCGTGCGCACGCTCTACACGACCTACTCCAAAGCCGATGACCGAGCCCTGGGAAAAGGTGTCCGCCTAACGCAATGTCCTGTGTGCAAGAAGTTTGCAGACAAATACGTTGAACATGACTTCGTGGTTCTGTTCATTGATCTGGTATTGATCAAGGCGGAAGTGTATCGGCATTTACTGTTCAATCGGTTGGGGAGGGACGATAGTCGTTTTGATGCAAGTATTCATTCACGTTTTGGAGAAAGGTTAGGGCTAATATAAGGTCTAGCGCTCGATCTTGAGACTGGGAATACTGCTTCTCCTCTTCGACGTTTATCTAACATGGGCGCGTATCGAGAAGTTAGCTCTCCCTGCCACATCTCCGTACCATCCTTCGCCGCCCTCCCCTTCTACGAACATGACGTCGACTAGCCCGCTTGTGCCACCACATGACGGGATAACGAACGCGGTGGTACTGCAAGCACATCCACTTGGCCTGCAATACCTGTTCTTCCTCTGTCTGGTCACGCTGTCCACACTGGCTTTCCATCTACCGATACGTGTACTGTGCGCCTTTGATGCGGAGCGTCTACCTGGTGCAGCGCGCAGACTCTGGCAAAAGTGTATACCGTATTTCTCCTCTCCGACGCCTTTGTCAACCGCTCTACTTGTCAGTAGCTGCACAAAGTTGTTTCCTATACTGCTGATCATCTGGGATTACGATTTGCCTAGTTCGGCGACGGCAGTTAGTTGGGCGGTGATAGTGAACAACATCGCTGCGCTGGAGATACTCATGGATTGTGGGTACATCAGAGCGGGTATGTTGGTTGGTATTGGGGCTGGGCTGAGAACGCTGGTGGGATGGGGTGTATTGAGAGCTGCGGGTTTGGGTACTGGATGGGAAGGATACTTGAGTGAATGGACGATTGCTGGCAATGTGTGGGATTGGGTCGGAAACGCGATTCGGTAAAATAAACATGAGCGTTCTGGTTGCAAACAATGATACCCATTTGATATTTGTACAAGCCAAGAAGCTCCGTAATACGCCAAACCAATTGTACACATGCGCTTAAATGTTCATCAATGCACTGCTTTGGTTGCCCATAGCCAACGACACTAGATGTAGTTCGCCAGTACGCAGTTGCTCCAGCATGATGCATCCTTTCGGTATATGCTTTGGTGCTTTCTGTCGTCTGGTGTAGGCTACCCCAAACCGTCGTTGTTACATGCATATTCCTCACGCCTTTATGATCCACAAACGTAATGCGCTAGCGTCCTCCATTGTATTCTGGCCGTAAGTCGCCTCGGATAGGCGAGATAAGAGGGTGGAGTTGCGCGAGGAAAGTAATAGCCCACATGATGTACATGGCAGCAGCAGACAGAACGAGCGTAGATCGCCAGACCCTATCCAATCAAGTTAGCTCAATATCTCTCACTTCCTCCCTGCTTCTCAAGTTCTCATCTCAGATATGGACGGGGAGGTTTGCTCGCTGTCGTTGCCATCGGTGCTCGTGTCGTCGACGAAGCGGACGCGCCCGCCTCCACCAGCACTTCGATCCTCAGGGTTGGCGAGGGGCAGCTCCAAAGAGGACTTGGTGCGCAAACAGGGCTTTGTAGGTGTAGGTGTGGACTTGGGCGAAGGGATGTTGTGAACGTACGTTTGGTTTTCGCCTTTGGGAGCTAGGAACCACGCTGCGCCGCAGAAGATGACGGTGACTATGAGCCCGATGATAGGTGCCCAGCTGTCTTGTGTTAGTTTGATGCTAGCTGTAGAGCTGCTTTGCGCGGAACTGACCCGTTCGCCATTGTGGTTGCTGGGTGATTGATGCGCTAGTTCGACCGTGTATGGGGTTGTGTGTGGCGATGCGACGGCTTGCTTCAGCGCAAGTTTGTTGTCAACGGATGCGGTGGTAGAGTGGATGTAGCGGGATGGCGATGTGGAGATGCCTTCGGCGTGGAGTTGCGAGCTTGGGAAGCTGCGATGACGCCTATCCTCTCAGGGCGCGTTCCACGCTAAACGCCAAGAATCACGTGTTGTCACCATTGTTACCTAGACGGCATCCAAAGGTCCTCCAACAGGTCCTCCATCTCTATCTTGACTTCACACGTACTCTGCCTCACTGAAACTCTCCTCTCTCAACACAGACGTGTCCAGGGAGCCCATGGATATCACGCTTCATTTATGCTCATATTGTTAGTCTTGCTCTCACATGCTGTTACTATCCCAATACGGTAGGTCTTTGTGCTCTTCCCACACCTTCTCGCCTCATTTCATGGCGCAGGCACCAGCTGGGCTTTTGGTCCGACACCTATTCCTCTCATGATTTTCCACCATCGTCAGTACGTTCTTAAGTACGAGACATGTCCTTGTATCACATATTCACCTTCATCCCACCTTCGCTGACACTTGGATTTCAAACTTCTACGACTTCCTAACATGTTGACGAGATGCTCTCAACATAACAGTACCCTCACATGGAAGCCGCCGACTTGAGAGTTGCTGAACCAGAGCCTTCCTTTTGCCTCAACGATGCGACCAATCGCCGTACTCAACTACCCGCTCTTGCAGTTTTGGGGAAAGACTTATTATAGCCTCATACTTTTACCTGGGAATTCCATCGTCCACGCGTCTCTCCAGCCTCACGATGGCATGATAAGAGTCTTGGAACTACATTGTAGATCGACAGGCGCCTGTCCGGTGAACATACCTGGGGTCAGGCACAAGGCTTGGCAAACCGATTTGGGATGCAGGTACGATGCCTTGTCAGATGAATACATGTACCATCTCCGGATCTCATCCCAGACAAGTACATATAATCTCTCAAGTATTACATTGTACTTGTAGAGTTCGATAGATACCCCGCCTGGACACTTACCAATGACGGACGATATGGCGCACTTGCGGTGTGACAGTGCCGCAATTGTCCCGCATATCGCATGAGTTTACTGCACAAACCCCGGGAATCTTCGGGAAGGCCTTTTCATGGATACTACCGCTCCGACAGCTGCGTCACTGAGGGATGATATATAATCAAGGGAATCATTGCTGTTTCCTGGATAATACGATCGACGCAGACTCGATCTCGATACTTGGGAGCTTGGAACAAAACGAAATAACAACTATTTTCGGCCCCGCATCAAGACTTCTGGAGGACCATGTTCACCGTCATCGGATGATGTTTGCCAACACCTGCAGGCAGGTAGGCGATGGTTCCGGCTGTTCGTGAGGCCAATAAGCTTTACAGCCCCAGACGCGAGGAGCCAATAGTGGAGTCTTGCTTCAGTCTTTTGCTGCAGACTTCGCAACATTGTGGTCTTCAATATTTCGAAGGATCAAGCAAGGAGTATCCTGCCTACAGCCCTGCCACTGTTCATCGCGGTAAATGTTTTGAAATGCCTCTACAAGCCAGCATTGAGGATCCGCATTACTTGTGGACGAGCAACTGCCTCACTTTATGTGTGATCGTCGATTAGTACACACGCTATGCCAAGTTGCCGGAATGGCTTTGTGCTTTTTGTAGCCTAGGCATACTGTCGAGCGCGCCGCGACTGTGTAGCATCACACCAAATGGCAAACGGTCAGTCGCTCGGCGCAGTCATGGATGTTCTACGTAAGATAACGAGTCGAGTCACCATCGCTATCGCCTCACAAAATGTGCAGGGTAGAGCGCCTAGTCTAAGTAACGTCGTCATCCAAGGATAGGATCTCTGGCTTGCAATGATACGTGGCGTCATTCATCCTGGGGTTCTATTGAATGCCCTAGAAGTACGCCAACTCACGTTAGTGCTAGGATATAAAGCTGCTAGTTGCAGTTGCATAGACATGGTAACTCAATGTCAAAGCGTTGTACGTACAGCAGTCGCTAGTCACTCCAGTCCTAGCACGACGGCATATCAGCATGCACGTCGCGCACACGACATTTGGAGCTTTTTCATCTGCTGCCTCGTCCCAGAGCCTCATCTCAGTTCAAGTAAAACCTGGCCACGTTTCGTAATTCTAAACTTATCCTTGAAGTCCTTGTTCAATCAGGTTTTTGAGCCTCAGGCCGAAAGACTGCATAAAGTCCTCCCACGTTTACGAAACTAGAATTGGCAAATATTCCTGATTGAGTGATCAAGCCGTTTGATAGACTATATCGTCAGAACGCCACTCTTTGCTGCCCTACACGACGCCAGTATGGAAGGTGATGACATTGTCTTCGTCGAGAACGTGTCATCTACTCTGGATCACAGCAACCATCCAAAGGAGGGAAGAGTCGAAACGTGTAAACCTGGAGAATTTACAAGACATGATAGGGATGTTCCTGTTGATGCAGAACTTCCTGTTCGTATTGACCCCGGTTTTTCGAGTCTGGCGAACGATCGTCCTCCATTGTCATCCCCAGTAAGTTCTCTCTAACGCAATATGGAAAAGGGTTCTAACATTTGCAATAGCCACCTCCTCCACCTGTACGTTACATAGTCTTCCCAGTTTATTATGATAAGCTGACAGCAGAAGCCTCCGCCACCTCCACCACCTCCGCCGCCTCCCGGTATGCCGGCCTTTCCTAGTATGATTGGAATGGCTCCTCCCGCTTCATTTCCACCACCAGTAAGTCAGACGTATTCTCGGGATATCCGATGCTGACCCTTCCAAGCCACCACCCCCACCACCCGAGCCGTCCGCTGGCCTAATGGGGACATCTTTCAATCCTACCGCAGAAGTCGACACGCCGAACCAGTTCATCCAGGTGCAATATACCAGCGAGTCTATCTCTGACTTTTCAAGCCGCGTCATTCGGATCGCGCCCTTTCGCCGCAATGTCTTGATGACGAGGCCTTCAGCCCACGTCGCAGATTACAAGGAGTTTGAGTGGCTTCTGAAACACGGCAGTTCCGAGATTTGGTATGAGAAACCAACCAAAGCACATCTTAGAAGTATTAGGACTCTCGAGGCGAACCGGTGGGCGCCGGACGAATTACTTCCCCTGCTCAACGCACGGCCAGTCAGCCTGGAAACTCCCAAGGTATGGGCGTCAGCAGCGATGACAACACCGACAGATGATGATATCTTTGAGTGCACTGGCGGACATACTACCCATGATGGATATGCTGGAACATGTCGTGAATGCACTGAGACAAAGTCTGAAGTACTTGAAAGCGTTCCGCTCATCTACTGCTTAGTCTTCAGCACTTGTCAAGCTAGCGACCCATTTGTTCATGGTGCCCACTTCAATGGCCGCCAGATCTACAAACTTTTCAAATGCGGTAGTCGCGAGGCTGCCGTCGCGGAAGCCTTCTATGCGGCTGGAGTCAATGGCTGGAGTCTCGCTTTTAGCTGCGTCATGAAGCTAGGTGAAGAGTTTGAAGAAAGATCTGGGACGGCCAAGAAGGTCAATGAACTGTGGATGCTGGCTGAAGAAGACGACGACGAAAAGACCATCAAGGTTTTCTACTAACCAATAAAAAAAGCAGCTTGTTTTTGGGTCTGATTTACTTTGAGCTTCTGTACTTCTTTTCGATAAATCTCCTACTCTCCAAATCCGCAACTTTCGGCACTACCATAACAACAAAAACCTGCGATCATCGGCACAGTCAGCCAGGCCTCGGCACATACACAACCAAAGCTGCTGGAATGGACCCAATCAGACCTCTCGTACCGCGTCTGATGCACGACATGAAAACTCATGTATGACCTACAGATATATGCAACCCAATTTGAGGCGCATACACTGGGTGTTACATGCTTGCCTCGACCGGTCCCTTCTACGCCCAGTACAACACTGCTCCCTGCCAGCGGTATCGTCGAGTCAAACAAGAAACCGGCGACTAAGCATGTCGAAGTGCAGGTTACAATCTCCTCCAATCGGCGTGGCCCACGATAATGGGCGTGTTGTACAAAGCTAAACCCTCTTCTGCTTCTTCACTTGCTGCACGGCTCCTTCACATTCGTTGTCCGTATCAATATCTCTCGTCTCTTATCTCGATACTGTTTCTTCTCGCTATGGCGTTTCTAGGCGTTCTTGTTGGGATACGTGTAAGGCTGTACGATAGAAACGATTAGCATTCCGGCTAGGGCGCTATCGAGCTGGCATCGGCGTCACGGTAGACATGCGCTAAGGGATCATTATTACGCACATGCTGTTGAGAATCTTGGTGGAGCACGAGGCGTACAAGTATAACGTTGTTTTTGTATTTTACATGATTTCTCGGGCAGACGGACACCATTGTGGTACGATATTCCAATGCAAATTATCTAAAACCAATTTCGTGCATAACCCAATCCATGCATAGTGATGTGTTCAACGCATGTGCTCCGATTATCGAGAGTTGTTCTCGTGTAAGTTGGCCTCGGTCCCTTCGCTTCATCTGTGCTCTCTGAAGTTGCTGCTTGTACCGGAATGCATTCGGTCTCCATGCTAACGTGTGTCATGGTAACATCCTCAGATATTCAATCTGAGATGGAACGGTTTCACAGCTCCTTCTTTGTCACTGGTTTCAGTCCTCGGTGTAGTTTTGCGATCGTCTGATCCAGCCTGGCATAGCAGTCTAAAGTCATGAAGATACCTGCACCTGTTAGCTTCATGGAAAAATATCTCGCATTCTTTTCAGTGGTCTTGGTGAGCTCAAAACCCTTATAGGCAACTTACCGGCAGCCAGATAACCCCCGTACATACCGCCCAGTCCCTGCACACCCCTCTGTGCCGACGTCAACTCATCCCAACTCAACATTTCTGCCAAACAGACCAACGTCGTCAAACTGGTCTCCATACCGAAGACCAGCAGGGCAAGAGGGACGCGTGGATCGTTGCGCAACAAGGCGGGAATGGCCCATATAGTTACGGGGAGATGATAGACAAGTTCAAGAAAAGTTAGAACGGGGAACCAGGCCGGAGCGTTATAGAAGAAACGGTCGCCATATGTAGCTATGTACCAGTCGCGTAGAGAGGACATCCAGAGGGGTTTGATTTGGATTGGGTAGTAGGCTGTGAGGTCGAATGCTGTGACAAGTCAGTACTGATCAGTCTCTTTCCTGAAGGTGGAGACCGGATGCGTTGACTCGGGAAGTCATCGAAAAGTTTTGTAGAACACAAGATATGAAGACGTCTAGTCCTCGTGTATGTGAAGTTGCTACGCTACTGAGAGAGGCTTCCAAACCAAACATCTATGTTGATAGACCCACCTAGCATTACTGGCAAGTGCACGATGAAGAAGACGAGATAGATCAGATCACGCTTCCGCTGGAATATAGAGACCGCCATGCTTGCAGAATCAGTTACGTGTCGTTGAAGAATTGTTGGTGTTGATGTTGATGTTGTGTCTCAGCCGAAGCGTCCTACGCGTTTCCGCTGACACGCCATTGAGTGGGGCTTTCCTTCCCCACGGGCCGTCGTCGTTAGCTTCCATCGTTCAGTTACTATCCCATCCGCATCGACCGGTTGCAATTAGGGTAGCGCGACAGCTACTACGAGTAATCGAAAGTATCTTCTTTATTCCTACTGTAATGTCCCTGATGCGAATTTCTGATTCTCCGATCGAGCTACACGGGCTAGAAGGTTACCGGCAGCACACAATCGCTGCAAGCGTCAGCTGCATCCTCAGGAGATCATCTCATGTACCGAACCCAGCGACTATCGAAGGATTTCTTTCTGCATACTGTGTTCCTTCTCGATGAAACCAGTAACTGTATTGGTGGATCACAACCATTTGAGCGCCATGCCTCTGCTTGCGTCAGCGCTCATCCTTCAGCCACCCAGTCTGTTCTTAGATTCCATATTTGCCAACGGATGATGTGCAGTCATATGTTCAAGACTGCTGGTTTGTGCCTCTTATGTCGCGACTAAGCTACTGGAGCTGCCGTTTCAACCGTAGGAGGATCTCTCGGAGCATCATGATGTCGGCGTTCCGCTCCTACGAAGTCACTCATGACCGATCACGCATCTCGTCTTGCCAACGATTTAGCCTAAATCCTCCTCGGATGGACCTTGGCACCCGGCCCACAGCAATAGGACGACATCAGCGGCGAATACATCAGGAGCGGCACATAATTGCCAAGGATGGTGGAGGCTTACGTTCTCTTCCGTGTCCAATTAGTGTACTTGAGGCCTTGGCTTGGCATTCCTCAAGCCGTGTTCTACATGTTGCCCAGAGACCGTTTCCTCTTGGTATGCTTAAGGGGTTAAAGAGGACTTATTACCGATGCTCTGGAAAGAGTGTGGACGCCTGTTTCCCCACACTGTTGCGTTCTTGTCACTGGGGTCCTGGATGATTGTGCAGATGGTGGTGCGGGCTCCTGCACCCCATACATAAGCCTGGGGTCTCCAGCGAAGAAATGTAAGCTTTCTAGTGGCCTGGGACATAGTTCATACGACTTCGACTTGAAGCTTTTGTCAACCTTCCGAGGCGTTTCATATCGATTATCAGATATCATCATGGCTGGAGGAGGCGGCGGTGCGACAGGCTTCGATGCCGCGCTTCAGAGACGTCAAGCCCTAATGGGTGCAAGTGGTCCTAGGGCTCTGGTAAAGAATGGAAAGGTGTTTCTCATCGCCTTGTTCGCCTGTCTTGGAGGAGTGTTGTATGGTTACAATCAGGGCATGTTCAGCGGAATCTTGGCTATGCCATCTTTTGGAGCACGTATGTACTCCCGAATTCTATCCTCAACTTGCGCTGACAGTGAACAGAAACTGACGGCTATGTTGATAATGCAACACAAAAGGGATGGCTGACCGCTATCCTCGAACTCGGTGCTTGGTTTGGAGCCGTCATGTCCGGTTTCGTTGCTGAGGCATTTTCTCGAAAGTATGGTATCTTGATCGCTACAGCAATCTTCATCATCGGCGTTGTGGTGCAGATCACTGCAATTTCCGGTGGACATGAGGAGATTCTAGCTGGCCGCTTCATCACGTTAGTAATGCCTAACCCAAAACCAGCCAAATTCCTGCTAACCATTTGTAGCGGTATCGGAGTTGGTGGTCTCTCTGTTATCGTTCCCATGTACAACAGCGAATGTGCACCTCCGTAAGTGCCATTGAAAACCCCGGCTTTAATGCAATGGAGCAACATGCTGACTGTCTTCAGTGAGGTTCGCGGTGCTCTTGTAGCACTACAACAACTTGCCATCACATTCGGCATCATGATCAGCTTCTGGATCAACTACGGAACCAATTACATCGGGGGCACTACATTGGAGACTCAGTCCAACGCGGCGTGGCTGGTACCTATCTGCCTCCAGCTCGTGCCGGCTTTTGTTCTCATCATCGGCATGATCTGGATGCCTTTCTCCCCACGTTGGCTGATGCACCATGACCGCGAAGAGGAAGCTAGGAACAACCTTGCATCCCTTCGCAACCTCCCTGTCGACCATGAGCTTATCGAGCTGGAATTCCTTGAAATCAAGGCTCAGTCCATGTTCGAGAAGCGTAGTGTTGCTGAGGCCTTTCCCCATCTTCGAGAGCAGACTGCATGGAATATCTTCAAACTTCAGTTTGTTGCCATTGCCTCCCTTTTCAAGACTAAGGCTATGTTCAAGAGGGTCATCGTTGCTACTGTCACCATGTTCTTCCAACAGTGGACCGGTATCAATGCGGTACGTATGATTTCAATACTTACTTTGACAGTTTCTAGGATATACACTGACTCTCGATTGATCAGGTTCTCTACTATGCGCCGCAAATTTTCGAGCAGATCGGTTTGACTGGTACCACCACGTCACTCCTTGCTACCGGAGTTGTTGGAATAGTCATGTTCATCGCCACCATTCCAGCTGTTTTGTACATTGACAAACTGGGCCGTAAACCCGTATTAGCCGTCGGTGCCCTTGGCATGGCTTTTTCGCACTTCGTTATCGCCGTTATCCTCGCCAAGAACATTGACAACTTTGCAAACCATCGTGCGGCTGGATGGGCGGCAGTAGTGATGGTGTGGCTTTTCGTTATCCACTTTGGATATTCTTGGGGACCTTGTGCTTGGATCTTGATCGCTGGTAAGTCCATTCGTCTACACTTTGATGCTCTCTAATCTAACGATCGTGGCAGAAATCTGGCCTCTGTCCACACGACCATACGGCACTGCGCTTGGTGGATCGTCCAACTGGATGAACAACTTTATCATTGGACAGATTACCCCGGAATTACTCGAGAATATCACATACGGAACATACATTCTCTTTGGAATGGTTACCACAATTGGTGCAGCGTTTATCTGGTTCTTCGTTCCTGAGACGAAGAGATTGACTCTCGAAGAGATGGATACCATCTTTGGTAGTGAGGGCACTGCGCTCAAGGACCAGGAGAGAATGGCTGAGATCAACCATGAGATTGGTCTTGCGGCACTGTCGGGTGATGCCTCTTCTGGGAATGAAAACGCTGTTGTTGGGAACGAGAAAGGTATTGTGTAGGTGATGGAGACTATTGAGTTGAGGCGAGTCGTTCGTTATTCGAAGGAGCTTGAAGCTAGCTTAGCTGGAAGAACAGAGAACTAGTGTCGGTTCATAAAATTCTATGTCTTTGGTCACATGGCTTTTACAATATTGTACATCCCCATAGGCAACGTTGGTGAGCTCGCTACTTTACGACCTGACATGCTTGATCGGATCATGGAACTCTAATGAAAGTCACCCAACGTAGCCATCAAACTCCGTCTAAAGGCCTCTTGATCCACAGCTCTCCCAATCAGCACTAGTTTTGACTCCTGACTCCCGTCATCCGGTTTGGCGTCTAGTTCGTTCGTGTCGTAAATAGCCCTTACACCCTGCGTAAGAAGTATCTTGCCGTCCTTGACTAGAACACGACCCTTCAAGCGGTGTATCTCAAAGGGCTTATGGTCAGCTTCAGTAGGTAGTGTCTCCTCCCATAAAATAGTGCGGAGGAACAAATCGAACTTGTCGACTTGGTCGCGTGCCAGGGCAGGAAAAGAGATAGTAGAAGTGGTGATTGTTGGATCGAGGTGACTGTGTCCCTTGCTTGCGAACTTCAAGTCTGCATCCGTGACTTCGTCGTAGGCGTGAAGGTCTAGTACCAACCCTTCTAGCTGGGGAACCTGGCTTTTAGTTGTTGTCTTGATGCGAGCGAGGCCGTTAATAGACCGGATGCGCTCAGTTACTTGTTGTAGTTCTTGCTCGGAGACTAAGTCGGTCTTGTTGATGATGATCACATCTGCGTGACTAATCTGCAAGTGTGCTGTTGTCAATAGCGGGCCGTGTTCGTCATGAGCTTCCTTCTTTCTCTCTTCAATCTTCTCTTCATCGCCTAGTCCTTCATCTAAGCTCTTCAAGACATTCTTTGCATCAACAAGTGTGACGATACCGTCTAGGAAGATGCTGCTCCCTAAGCCATCGTCGAGCCAGAACATGGGTGCGATGTTTCCAGGGTCTGCTAGGCCAGTCGTTTCGAGGAGGATGTAGTCGAATAGGCCGGATTGCTCCATTAGATTCTCGATGGCTGCTACGCCAATGTCCTTGACGGAACAGCATATACAGCCGTTCGCTAGCGGTACAAAAGGCGCTGGTTGGGCAGATGTGGAGTTTGCATCGGAAACAGTGAGCTGCTTCTCAATATCAATTGCTAAGGCGCGTTAGGTTGGTGTCTTGCCTGAAACGCAAGGGAGCATACAGTCACCAAACTCATTCAGAATGACGGCAATCTTCTTGCCATGCTGCTCAGTCAAAATGTAGTTCAGCAAGGTCGTCTTTCCCGCGCCAAGATATCCTGTGACGATGGTGATGGGCACTTTGCTCTGGGGTGCATCGTCTGAGCTAGCCACAAGGGTGGGAACATCTTCATCCTGATCCTGGATGACCTTGGTGTTAGTCTCTGGCTGAACGAGACTGGGTACTTCGTCGTCTGATACGTTTCCGTCCATGGCTGGCAGATGACGTCGTGAGGTGGGCAGAGTCATGTAGAAAATGGTCCACTGAGCCCGCGATGAAGTTAGCGTGGTCGCGTAACGACTAGCTGGAAGGACCCCTGCGACTGCCCTGCATCCGCCTGGGCAAGCTCCAGATGTCCGATGTCAACAACGCACAACACCCCGCCTAAGTGATCACCGACGTCTACAGCCTTAGCAATCGCCCTTTCCGCTGCTCAATCTCGCGCCGAAATGACGTCGCCTGCTTCGCCCCGTCTTCCCAGCCCACCACCCATTCCAGAAGACCAGCTTTCACCGGTATCAGCGTCGCCAGAGCAGCAGAAGCTGTTCAGTAACCTCGACCATGCTGCGGAGCGGAGAATACGGCCAGGGACCAAGGCAGAGGACATGGCCGAGGGACCTCCGCTCGTAGACTTATCAGAGGTGCGCTGAGGCAGACTACACCACAGACGGTGCCTGATTGACAAGATGCGCAGATTGACTCGGCCTTCCAACTTACCGAACACCTCAAAGCCCTCCACAATTCCCTGACGCATCCTGCTGGCTCCAACGGCACCGTGCCGGTGGACAGAAGCATGGCACTCAAGATTGCACAATCGCCAGCCAATGTAGACAGGACTCTGTGGCTATATGAGCTCTGCCGCTTCCTCATACAGAAAGTCAACTCCATCATCACCG